TTTTTGCCTTGTTCCAATGGTGTTCCCCACAGAGCTGCAGCCACAGCAGACCCACAGTGAACATTCACTGGACTTTTTACCAGCGAGTAGTAAAACCTATATAGGAACGCTTCTAAAGTAAATGCCAACCCCCGCCCCCCAACCGGTCTCCTTTCTCCTGAGCAGCCCTCCTACCTGGACCTTCTTGCCCAGGGCAGGGGTGTTCTAGAAACTCGCTGAACTCGTTCCTAAACAAGAGGGCCCCATACCAAAGACTGTCATCATTGGCCCTAGCTCAGTAAGTTCTGATTTAGTCTTAGTCCTCTTAAAGGAGGCGACAGACATATCACATTAAGGGTTCCTTTTTTAACAGGTCCTTCAACCCAATCCCTTGAAATTTAAAGTAAGATTGACCACAGCTAACATTTGTATGTACTAATATTCTAGGAGCTCTCTGTGTTATAGCGCTGACTTTCCAAAAGCATTGTTATCTCCACTTAATACATAAGAGAACGGTAGGTAGTGCGGTTTACCCGTTTTGGAAATGGCTGTCATGGATTTCAACTCTGGCAGTCAGGCTCCACAGACCCAACACCCTGTAACAGCTAAGCCATTTTAACTCCCAGACACAGCCATAACTGGAACACAGATCTACGGCTTCTGGTGCTAACGTACATTTCTGTAACCCACTGCACTGTTATTATCGATACCATCTTTGAAAGTCTTCATTGCCTGTACTTGGAGTAAAAGCCTCAGGGAGGAGAGGCCGGTAAGGAGGCAAAACAGGAGAAGCTAGATAGAGCACAGACACAGATCCCCTGGAATATTGTTAAAATGCAGATTCTGACTCAGCAGGTCTGGGGTGGGGCCTGAGAGCCTGCGTTTCCAACAAGCTCCCAGGTGATGCTGGACAGCTCCTGTCTGTGGGACATCTTGAAGAGCAAAGGTGAGATAACCTTTACTGAGACAACTCAATTTGTCCCCTGTGGCAAAAATAAAAGCGCTCACTTAAAAAAAAAAACAAGTGTAAGTCATTTAAAGAAAGTGTGTTTATCAAGTTATTCACATATGCACAGGACTGTTTGATGTTGTGAAAAACCAACTAAGGTACGACTTAATCATCCAGGACCTTAACCATCCATGGCCTTATTTTCAATTCAGAAGAGCCTGGAGAGGAAACCATGTTTTCCTTTTTAAAACAAAGAAACTGAAGAGCAAGGAGACTGAACACGCCAGGGTCAAAAACATGTTAGGGGCATGTCCGGGTGCCCCGTACCATCCTTGAACCCACACACACTTCTGGGAAATAGCAAGTAAGGAGCAAGCCAAGAGCTGTCACGGGATCATCGGTGCGTTCATAGGGTCTGTGCCAAGCAATATCAAAGTTGCCCACACTCCAGTTCTATCCTGACCATTTTTAATAGGCAATATTAAAATTTAAAAAAAAAGTGTGTGCTGATGAAGAGGCTAAGCACACCTCTGAACTTAAAAACAAGACAAGCCACATAAATTCTCTTCCTTAAAAAACAGACATTTCAAAAGATTTTCTTTAATATCATAAAATATTTTCATGGACAAGTGAGCTAGCAAACACATGCACCAATGTGCCTTTTGACGAAATTACCCCACCCCCACCCACCCACTCCCACATCAAGGTGGACATGAGATTGGAGAAATGAATACAGCAGATGGAACAGATAGAAAAAAAATGGATAAAAAGGATGGAATAAAACATTGTGCTTGGTTATTATCCTATGTCACAACAAAACAAAACATTTCGGTGCAAATAGTTAATTCATCCTCTTTTCCATTTAAGTCTGGTGGAGAAAAAAATACTTTTTCTATAATAAAATATGCGGGTTCTTTTTGTTTGTTTTTTTACTTTTTTTAACGTAACTTTTTTTTCTTTTTTGCAGAAAATAATTTTGTAAACTGTCACTTGGCGGGCAGGGAGGTTTGATGCCGCGTGGGTCCCAGCTGGCCCTGTAGGAGGCTGAGTGCAAAACCCGGGCGGGAGGAGGGGGGCACAGCAGAGGCTTAGGGTGGGGCTCGCATGGNCCCCGCTCCCAGCCTGCCTGAGTTTTCATGCTGCTCTGGTTCCTTGGGTCCTCAAGCAAACCCTGGGCGTACCTGCACCGGATCTCTTCCCTGCAGACGATGTGTTCTGGCCTGATTTATTCACGTCCCTCAAAAGCAGCCCATGATCACCAGGACTTGGCTCCCAAATGGCCTGTTATAGCACCACAACTTTCCCTCAGGGCCTTTCTCAGAATCAGCCGTTCCAGATACCAGGATTGATGCTACCCTCGTGACACCTGGGGCAGCTGCTCCATAGGTCCAGCAAACCCGGACTCATGCCTGTGCCTGGCAGAGGGGGCACTTACTCTCCTGCACTCACTCTGTGACCCTCACCAGACAATGCAGGGGTCCCCAACAACATCAAAAGCCAGCACAGAGCAAGTGCTCAGCCATTGTTTTTTTCTCCTGCTAAATGTGCCTGGTTGCTTCTGCTGTCCTTCTGTGGCACAGGTCAAGGCCCCTCACCACCCCAGGAATAAGCCAGCTGGGACCTGTTGGGAGCAGGGCAAATGAAAGCCAGGACGGGGAGGGCTGTGGTTACTCCCTGGTCCTCTCTGGGAAACGCTGTAAGGACACATTTGACCACTGGAGGGCAGCATCACCTAGCTCATTAAAAGACCAGCGTCCTCAGAAGCAGTATTTTCTGGTAGTTGTGTGGGGAAGGTGGGAAGCCTTAATGGGGGCTTACCGGACTCTTGGTTAGTTGCTTTGCCACAGGATTTCATTTACATCCACCCCGCTCCAGGCAGCTCTTAGTAAATAAATGTGTTCTGAAATATAACCTATAAAGAGAAGTTTTACATAAAGAAGCCTATTTTCTCACTGCCTTGAATTATAAAGTGAGAATTTTTGTTCCCACACGTGGGGCCTCCTGCAGGTGCCCAATGACAGTTTTCTGAGTGCCCACATGCCTGACCACGACTCTCCACTCCTCCGACGGATCCACAGGTAGCTCCGTATTTCCCTGCCCTGCCAGCCGCTGGATGCACGTGAAGAAACATGGAGGCAGCCCACAGAGAGGTGGGGCTCCTCCTTGCACACTTGGTATTCCCATTTTTTTTTAAGATTTTATTGGGGACTTGGGGGAGGGGAACAGTGTTGGGGACTTGGGGGAGGGGGACAGCCAAGTTGTCCTTCGATCTTAGTTCTGAAGGGCGCAGCTAGCTCAGCTCCAGGTCCAGTTGCCATCGGGCTGCCCGTCGGCAGCTCGTGCGGGGGGTGGGGGGGTTGTGCAGCCCACCATCGCATGCAGGAGTCTAACGAGCAAACTTGTTAGGAGCACGTGCTCTCACCAGCTGAGCCATCCTGCCACCTGTTGGCAGCTCAGCTCGGGTGCAGCTCGCTGGCCCATGTGGGAATCGAACCGGTGACTCTGTTGCTCAGAGTTCGCACTCTTAACCAACTGAGCTACTCAGCAGGCCCAGATATTTCCTTCTTAATGCAGCAATAGGACTATATTGTCCAGCCAGTGGGTCCAAGTGTTCTAGTCCTGTGTGAGGACTGGGCATGGGGCTCCACGATTGATTCTCCATCTACATACCCATTCTTCAGGCTTTGATCTGGTGCTCGATCTTACTAGGAGGTGTTAATGGCAAATTGAGACAAAACCAGGATTCACATTCCTATATGGTCAGGCAATGTCACTAAGTCATGACTACCACCTGGTTAGTCATGTGAGATTGGCTGTGAACTGCATCCCAGGCTCAGTGATGTGAAAATTGATGGTGAATTGACGTAGCCCTTATCGGACCACCTTTTGGGTTATCTGTCCCACGTAGGCCCTGAGCAATGACTTCAGCCTCAACCACCACTAGGCATCATGGTGTCAGACCAGACCAGGCTGGGCCAAGTGGCTCCTGGAATTGGGACTGGCCTCTTGTGTAGAGGAAATGTAACACTGGGGCACTGTGAGGTCAGCCTCTTCCATCACAAGGGTCATGACTGACCAGAGAAAGCTGGGCTTTGAAGAGTAGTGAAGCTGTCACACAGGGAGGGGCTGAGATAAGGTGGAGAGAAAGCAGCTCTCAGGTTCCCCAAGGGCTTTCCAGTTCCTGCAGCTGGTCCGTACCCAACGCTGGGCTGCCATGTAGCTCCGGGGTTCCGAGAGACACCCTGAAGCCTTATTTCTGTTTTGTCTATAAGCTGTTTATTTGGTCCGTGTTACTGTTACTGCACTCTTAGCTGTTTGCTCAGGTCTTAACTGCATTTCAGACAGCTGCTTCCCCACCACTCTTGGGGCTTTCAAGGTCTCGATGGTCACAGTGACTTCTGGAGCTTTGGTTTAACTAAAGGACCCTATCAGGCAATGTCCTGTAAACTTTGGACCCTCCTGGCCTCAACGTATGAGTCTAGCTCTGACTTACAGGTTTGCCCGGTGCCAGGTGCGAGAGGGCTGGTCATGTGTCCAGTGCTGTTCTCCAGGGCACTGCACAGAGATGGGTCCTTCTCTGTGGGTTTTTGGTGGCAGTGCTACTGCTCGGTTACCCCTGTTCTGTCCCCCTAAATTTGGCCTAGTTTGGGGATGAGAAAGCAACCTGTGACCTTGGGGACCTTCTCCATGTGAGATCATCTACTCCATTCAGGGATTAAGTCCATAGCCTTCAGCCCCTCAGCCCAGTGCCACTAACCAGCAGTGGACCAGCCCACCAACCTCCTACTGGGCCCGTCATTCTGGCCCTTTGGGTGTTTCAGAGCTGTGCAGCACCCATCCCCCTCCTCTGGGCACTGGCATTTTTAGGGCTAGGGGCTCTGGTCTAGCAGCTGTGGCAGCCTTCCCAGGGCCAATGTGGCTCAGACCTTTGAAGCCAGGCAGTTTCTCCAAAGCCTCCAGCCTGTAACACGGGACACGGACGTCAGGGAGGCAGCCCGGCTGGCAAGAGACCTGGGCAATGAAGCACGTGTTAGTTTCCTACCACTGCTGTAACAAATGACCACAACCGTAGTGGCTTAACAACACACATTTATTAGCTTATAGTTCCAGAGATCAGAGATCCAAAATGGGTCAGCAGGGCTGCGTTCCTTGTGGAGGCTCGAGGGGAGAATCCGTCTCCTTGTCTTTTCCAGCTTCTAGACACTGCCCAGATTCTTGGCTTCTGGCTTCATATCATTCCAGCCTCTGCTTTCATCATCACTTCTCTGACTCTCCTGCCTTCCTCTTAGAAGGGCACCCTCAGATAATTCAGAATAATCTCCCCATCTCAAGAGTCTTAGCTTCATTATGTCTGCAAAGTCCCATTTGCCAGTCAAGTCACATAATCACAGGTTCCAGGATTAGGATATGGATATCTTGGGATCATTATCTAGCCCACTACAGAACTCAAAGACTGGTGGACTCCCCTTAATGATATTTTTCTATAGTCAGGCCTTTTTCTTTCAGAATATTTAAAATAGCACAGCAAACCACAGCTGATCTTTTAAAAACTGTATTAAGACTTAAGGCCACTTACAAAATGCCTATCATGTGCCAGGCACAGGAGGAAATAGCATTACCCACCCCATTTGGAGAGGTCATTTGCCCACCCAGTAAGTGGCAAGGCACACTTAAACCCGTCTCTCTTGAAGGGTACCACTGTCGAAAGAGGTTGTGTTTTTTTCCTCTGACAAAAAGGCCGGCCCTAGTCGAAGGCTTTTAGGTTAGACAGCTCAGAGGTGCTCACTGCCCAACTCATACCGCTCGTGGACATCACCGGAGGGCCTGGCATAGGCCGAAGAACTGACAAAGTCTCCATCCAATCTCTCCTTACAGCCTAAGAACGCCCTATATGTTCTCAGTCCTGGTAACTGACTCAGCCTAGTGACTGCACTCTTCAAGCACTGATCCCGTGTGCAGGGGACAACTCTGAGCTGACCCAGTGATGGAGGACACAGCACATTCCTGGGATAGGCCTAGTACCTGGAGTGGTCATTAGGATTTTGTTAAGAGGTTGACAGGCCAGACAGAGAAGCTATTTTTGTAGTTGGTCTTCACGAGGCTGTCAACAAAGTCCCTATAAACGTATAGGCAGAGGCAGAAAAAAATACAAAAAAGAAATGCACGCTCCACACAGGCAGGAAAGAGATGCAATGAATTTGTCCCATTGATGCAGGAACAGTTAACAGCCTGCCTGGCTCGGGGTAGAGAATTCCATCTACCCAATCATTTAAAGTAAGTTGGAATAGGTTACGATGAAAACTGGGCAAGGGTAAAATCCAAAAGATGCCTAGTGGGTGAGTAATGCAATGGGTTGCAAAACAAATGTCAAATGGAAAACATGGGCTCGGGGACAGTGCCTGACTATTGGAACCAATACCATGAGTTCACTTGTGCCTTGGGTAGAATCACCCTGGAAGTGTGTGAACACCTCATCTTGTGTCCTGGTTCAGAATCTCCAAGTGATATACAGTGTGTCACGATCCTGACACTTCGGCTCCTAAACCAGCAAGTAGTAAGGGGATTTGAAATCCCGCTTAGAACTAAACAAATGGAGTGAATCAAACTCTTAGTATTAATATTTTGGTGTGTTCAGCAGTTTTTTACAAACCATGACAACCTCTGAATTAACATAGGGTGCTTGAACATGTAAGAGAAGCTGGCATATATTATTAGTGTTGTGGTTTTCATCTGAAATGTGTAATTAAAATTCGATGTGCGATTTTAATTTTGGAAGTGTAAGAGAGTTGTTAGTAAACTTTGGGAGGCTTTGAACGGCTCCAGAGAAGTTGATTACTACACTTATAATACTTCAATTGCTTTGTGCTAAGTGAGAGTTTTGTTGCTAGGATTTGAATCTGCCTGGGTTGGGAGGCTGATGTCCTGGAAAGAATTATGAAAACTTGGAAATATGTTTATAAAATATTTAAAGGAATTTAACGAAGTTTGCAAATGGGGCTAATTGGGAGGATCTCATGTGTTAAATGTATGCATGAATAGGACAAGCAAGAGTTTTTATTTTTACAGAAAAAATTACATTCTCAATATAGCAAGATGCACACAATGACCTTAAAAGCTTAAGAAATCGATTTTTCAATTTTTACCTCTTTAACAAATTGAAAATTCATTTAAAGTAATCACAGTCATTTGCACACATATAAGCACCCTTAACATTGAGAAGCAAGGACAAGGGCACTTCTCTGAAGGTTGTAGAATAACTTGGTAAACTCACTTCCGTTCAAACGACTTACAATTTTTTTGAAAGTGAGCTCCGATAAGGGAGCTGATCATGCCTCTGGAAACTGAGGCATGTTAAAGTGCTTGCACTTTTAGGAAACTTTCTGGTTGGAACAATTTGCCCCTCTCCTCAACTCCTATACCACTGCGTCCCCTTGAGACTTGCGTGTAAATAGCTAAAACAAGGGATCTTGCATATTGGCCTCTTTCACAAGACTGACTCTCTGAGACCAGGTTTTTGCCTTGTTCCAATGGTGTTCCCCACAGAGCTGCAGCCACAGCAGACCCACAGTGAACATTCACTGGACTTTTTACCAGCGAGTAGTAAAACCTATATAGGAACGCTTCTAAAGTAAATGCCAACCCCCGCCCCCCAACCGGTCTCCTTTCTCCTGAGCAGCCCTCCTACCTGGACCTTCTTGCCCAGGGCAGGGGTGTTCTAGAAACTCGCTGAACTCGTTCCTAAACAAGAGGGCCCCATACCAAAGACTGTCATCATTGGCCCTAGCTCAGTAAGTTCTGATTTAGTCTTAGTCCTCTTAAAGGAGGCGACAGACATATCACATTAAGGGTTCCTTTTTTAACAGGTCCTTCAACCCAATCCCTTGAAATTTAAAGTAAGATTGACCACAGCTAACATTTGTATGTACTAATATTCTAGGAGCTCTCTGTGTTATAGCGCTGACTTTCCAAAAGCATTGTTATCTCCACTTAATACATAAGAGAACGGTAGGTAGTGCGGTTTACCCGTTTTGGAAATGGCTGTCATGGATTTCAACTCTGGCAGTCAGGCTCCACAGACCCAACACCCTGTAACAGCTAAGCCATTTTAACTCCCAGACACAGCCATAACTGGAACACAGATCTACGGCTTCTGGTGCTAACGTACATTTCTGTAACCCACTGCACTGTTATTATCGATACCATCTTTGAAAGTCTTCATTGCCTGTACTTGGAGTAAAAGCCTCAGGGAGGAGAGGCCGGTAAGGAGGCAAAACAGGAGAAGCTAGATAGAGAACAGACACAGATCCCCTGGAATATTGTTAAAATGCAGATTCTGACTCAGCAGGTCTGGGGTGGGGCCTGAGAGCCTGCGTTTCCAACAAGCTCCCAGGTGATGCTGGACAGCTCCTGTCTGTGGGACATCTTGAAGAGCAAAGGTGAGATAACCTTTACTGAGACAACTCAATTTGTCCCCTGTGGCAAAAATAAAAGCGCTCACTTAAAAAAAAAAAACAAGTGTAAGTCATTTAAAGAAAGTGTGTTTATCAAGTTATTCACATATGCACAGGACTGTTTGATGTTGTGAAAAACCAACTAAGGTACGACTTAATCATCCAGGACCTTAACCATCCATGGCCTTATTTTCAATTCAGAAGAGCCTGGAGAGGAAACCATGTTTTCCTTTTTAAAACAAAGAAACTGAAGAGCAAGGAGACTGAACACGCCAGGGTCAAAAACATATTAGGGGCATGTCCGGGTGCCCCGTACCATCCTTGAACCCACACACACTTCTGGGAAATAGCAAGAAAGGAGCAAGCCAAGAGCTGTCACGGGATCATCGGTGCGTTCATAGGGTCTGTGCCAAGCAATATCAAAGTTGCCCACACTCCAGTTCTATCCTGACCATTTTTAATAGGCAATATTAAAATTTAAAAAAAAAGTGTGTGCTGATGAAGAGGCTAAGCACACCTCTGAACTTAAAAACAAGACAAGCCACATAAATTCTCTTCCTTAAAAAACAGACATTTCAAAAGATTTTCTTTAATATCATAAAATATTTTCATGGACAAGTGAGCTAGCAAACACATGCACCAATGTGCCTTTTGACGAAATTACCCCACCCCCACCCACCCACTCCCACATCAAGGTGGACATGAGATTGGAGAAATGAATACAGCAGATGGAACAGATAGAAAAAAAATGGATAAAAAGGATGGAATAAAACATTGTGCTTGGTTATTATCCTATGTCACAACAAAACAAAACATTTCGGTGCAAATAGTTAATTCATCCTCTTTTCCATTTAAGTCTGGTGGAGAAAAAAATACTTTTTCTATAATAAAATATGCGGGTTCTTTTTGTTTGTTTTTTTACTTTTTTTAACGTAACTTTTTTTTCTTTTTTGCAGAAAATAATTTTGTAAACTGTCACTTGGCGGGCAGGGAGGTTTGATGCCGCGTGGGTCCCAGCTGGCCCTGTAGGAGGCTGAGTGCAAAACCCGGGCGGGAGGAGGGGGGCACAGCAGAGGCTTAGGGTGGGGCTCGCATGGGTAGGAGGCAGGGGGTAGGGGGTGAGGGCACAGGATTGGCTGGGCGGGTTAGAGGGGTTAGAGGTCACTCTCGCCATAGAGCGCCGTGGAGAAGGACATGTAGTCCAGAGCACCGGGTACTGCGTCAGGGCCAGTGTAGGGGGCCATTCGCGCGATGCAGTACTCAGCCTGGTCTGGCGGCAGCTCCCGGCGTAGCTCATCCACCGTGATGTAGTTCTGCGGAGAGAACGGTGAGGGCAGCCGGTCAGGGCAGGCACCAAGCCCAGCAGCTGTGAACCGCACTGTATGCTGTACTGTCCACCGTTCCTGCCCCCTCCTAGTGACACACACACACACACACACACACACACACACACACACACGTATACCCACATACAGTGGGACCCCGTAAGAAGGGGTGCTGTAAGTGTTCACAGTCTCCCCTCCAGATCCCGGCCCAGCCTGTGCCTACCAACCCAGCTTGGCATCCACACCAGAGCAAACGCACCTTGTCACCGGCCAGGATCTTGAAGGAAGCCATGACTTGGTCTGCCGTATCTGTGTCAGCTGTCTCCCGGGACATAAAGTCGATGAAGGCCTGGAATGTCACTACCCCTAGGCGGTTGGGGTCCACAATGCTCATGATGCGGGCAAATTCTGCCTCCCCCTGAGGAGAAGAGTGGAGCCCAGGCCTGTCAGCCTCTGAGCCATAGCTGCTGGGACTTTCTCAAAGGGACCTGAAGCCCCTGGGGGCTCAGAGGAGGACACAGCAGCCCCTGGCGTAACCTGGGTCGTCCTAAGGGTATGATAGGGACGCAGCACCCAACGGTGAAGACCCGGCTCAGAGCTTCCCACCCTCTACAGATGCCTGGGCTCCTCTTGGAGCAAATTATGAAAATGCTGATAATAAGACAACAATAACACACAGCATATATTACACACCAGATACTATTCTAAACGCTGTGTATATTTTAATTTACTTAACCCTCACCACAACCACACAAGGTAGGTGTTTATTATTTCCATCAGATGAGAAACCTGAGGCCCAGCTGGGCTTAGTGACTTGCCCAAGGTCACGCAGCCAGTAGGTAGTGGAGCTGCGATTTGAACTTGGCCGTCTGGCTCCACAACCTGTGCTCTCCCCACCATACTGTACTTTCTATGTGCCAGACAAGTGCATAGCACTCATGTAAGTTCCTTTGTTTAATCCTAAGACAGTCCTGCAAGGTCCCCCTCACCTCATCTGGGCCCCCCAAGCTGGTGATGGCAGAGCTGGGATTTACTTCTGGGTTAACTACTAGAGCCTGTGCTCTCGGCTTTGCACTGGACAGCCCAAGGGATCTGAACTCTGCATGGCCCAGGAGCGGCCTGGCTGCCCAGCGAAGGCCTGTTGCCCTGCTCGGAAGGCCTGCATGAGGGTAGGCAGCTGAGAAGGTTGGGGAGAAGCCTGGGGCAATAGCAGAGGGACGGCAGGCTTGGCCGGAGCCTTTACCAGGGGAATGATAAGAAATCTCCCTGCCTTGTACAAGATGAAGCAAGCTAACCCAAACCCAGAATGTCCAAACCACCAGTGCTTCCTACCAGCCTCGGGCCAGCCCAGCCGTCCACGGTAGGAGTGAGAAGGCCTGTCTCCACAGTACATACCAGAACATAGACTGGCACAGACTGGGGTGAGAAGGCCAGGCCTCCAAGGATACACATAGGCCTGCAGCTAGGCCCTGCCTTCAAGGCACCATCTTCCCCAAGGACCAGAATCTTGAGGCTCCTCTGGGGAGGGCAGCCTGAGGGCCTCCAGACCGCCAGGGCTAGGACTTGGCCTCTGCGGCCAGCTGGCGGCCCCTCGCCAGGACAGAGGGTGGGGTTTACATTACCATGTTATAACCCATGGAGATAAGGCAGGCGCGGAAATCATCCGTGTCCATCATGCCTGTCTTCTTCTGTGGGGGCAGTGGCACCGAGACACAAGGAGGGTCAGAGGTAGAAGGAAAAAGGGCCGGCCAGGGCCAGGAAGGCAGGGCACAGATGGCCAGAGGGGAGCACGAGATGTATGGTTTCGGGGTCAGGAAGGGGCGAGGGACACAGGAGGAGGAGATGTAAATACACAACCGGGGAAAACGTCCACAGGAAGGAGGGAAGACAGAGCAGGGAGATGCATAAGTCCGTCCACAGCATGGCGAACGGCGAGGAGAGAGGAAGGCAGGCACGGAGGAGGTTCCCACGAAAGACAACCGACAGCAGAGTCAGAGGTCGGAGTAGCGGGAGAAGGAGCCCGACGCGGGCGAGGCGGGGACAGCAGAAGAAGACGAGCCCCACGGCCCACAGGAAAGGGGGGACAGGGAGATCCAGACAGACAGAGAAGAGAAAAAGGAGAAACACGCGTTATTTCTCGCCCCGGATGCCACCCCTGAGCGTGCTCCATGCAGGAGGCGAGTACCTGGGGGTCGTTGCCAATATCATAACCCAAGCTGATGAGGCAGGCTTTGAACTCCTCGGGACCCAGCGTGCCGGAGTGATCCTGGGGCCGCCGTGCGCCAGGCAGCGAGCCATGCGGTGCCAGGGAGGTGGAGGCCGTGAAGGGAGGGGATGGGCCATGCCCCGGGGGAAGGGTCGCGTGTGTGGGGAGACACAGGGACAAAGGCATGCGGATGGAGAGGGCGGACAGTGGATGGGGTGGGGGAGGAAGGGAAATAAAAGTGCACACGGTTAGACACATGGACGTGGTCCCATGGGTGCCCTCTCCCTGGCACACGAAGCCCTGCTCCGGGAAGCAGGCCAGAAGGGAGCACAGTGAGCCATGGGGGTGAGAAGCCCCCCAGAAGTGCCCAGCCCGCCCCCAGCCTGATGCCCCACCCCAGCTTCCAGGTGGGCTTCACCCAGCCAGGGACCAGGAGGGCAGTGAAGCAGGCAGGTGGTGGGCAGCACCTAACCCCATGCTCCCTCCCACCCTATGTGGTCACCCCAAAGCCCCAGGGCACTGGGAGGGGCACCCACATAAAACCTGACATGTCCCAGAGCTGGATGAGAACCCAGCTGACAACTCCAGCATCCCCACAGAGAGTCCCAAAGGCTGCCCCGGGGGTGGGGTGGGGGGCGGCGGGAGCTGCTGCTCTCTGTCCTGAGGCATAGGCATAGGACAGTCCGCACAGCTAGGGGCAAAGGGCTTTCGCTTGAGGCTCTGGTGGCCTTGCTCCCAAAGGCTAATGACTCATGGTAGGAGAGCAAGCTTCAGGGGTTCTCTCTTCACCCACAATGAGCTCTCTCTCCAGCAAAGCAGAGGGGCTCATGGGACACCAGGGCTGGCTTTGCGGAGCCAGCATCCTGTGGCACAGGGTCAGGGAAGGCTGAGGGCAGTTCCTCCCTCTCCTTCTTCCTCCTCCTCACCTGCCCAGGAACCGGGTCCAGCATAGCTGCCCACACCCTGGGCAGTGCCCTCCAGAGCCCTGGGGTAGGGGGCTGCTTGAAGCGAGTGCAAGGAGTGGGTCTCTCACCCGGTCAAAGTGGTTGAAGGAGGCCCGGAACTCATTCATCTGCTCTTGGCTGATGCCCTTGGCATCCCGGGTCAGAATCTGGTTCTCCACCTCATTGATGGTCCTGGCGATGGTGGTGAGGAGCTGCTCCCACCCCACGCGAATGTGCTGGGAGTAGACAAGGCACCTGTCAGCACGGGGCCTGCCCTTGTCCACTCCTTCCCCTGACCGCCCAAATGGTCAAATTAATCAAACCCGGCCTTCTGTCTGGATTCACAGTATCAGCAGAGGCAGGCAGGGGAACCAGGACAAGGTACTAGGACACAAGACCCAGAGGATAAAGGCACAAGTATGGGCAGGGTGGTCGCCTCTGCCTGGGATAGCAGGGACCAGAACTGCCAGTGTGGGTCGGGTTAGAAGGAGGGCAAATTTGGTAGCGGAAGATTCAAGGACAAAAATATAGAGTGATTTTCTGAACATCCAACTCTGTAACCACACACATATGCCTTCAAGGTCAAAACAAACAGTTGTTAAGAATGCAGGTGCCTAAGCCAGCATTTGGAGACCACCAGCATCAGCACCACTGGGGGGCTTATTAAAAATTTAGATTCCTGAGCCCCACCCCAGACCCAGCAAATCAAATTCTGGAAATCTGTATGTCAACAAGCTCCTTGGGAAATCCAGAAGGCAGTGGGGATTGAAGACACAGGGCTCCCAGGGTGAGAAGCGAATACCCGCTCACTCCAAAGCAAGAATTTATGTCCAGTTTCCTTGGAAGATGATAGCCACCCCCCTGCTCCAGCCCAGGAAAGGAGAGCAGCGGGGCTTCCTCCCCAGAGAAGCAAGACCATGCCATGCACCTCCATGGTGTAGTTGGTGTGTTTGTTGTCGAAGATGAGTGCCTCCTGGATGAGCTGGTGGTCACCTTCCAGCTGGTCAATCTTGGGCTTGTAGTTGACGATGCTCTTCTCATACTGCCGCAGGTGGCTCAGCTGGTCCTCCAGGGTCCCGTGCATCTCAATGGAGATCCTTCCGATCTCCTGCTCACCCAGGAAGGAGGCCCTTATCAGACCACCCCACTGTGCCCCTGGGATGGAGACTGGGGACCCCACGTCATTGGTCAACCACTCAGATGATTCTCGGCTCCCACACCAGTACTAGGGAACACATCGGGTAATTAGTGAGCCCGGAGCTAGACACATTCAGCATGGGTGCTCCCTGGTATGGAAACAGCATCACAGAGGTGTGTGACAAGCATTGCTATCACTGGATGAAACACCTCCTGTCAGCCTCAGGAAGGGGATGCAACTTCAGTTGCTAACCTAATCTCCTCTGCTTGCTATTCAAACTCCCTTCTGGGGCCGGCTGAGTGGCTCAGTTGGTTAAGAGCTTGCTCAAGAGTGCAATCTCTGACAAAAAGTGTGGCTGGTTCAATTCCCACATGGGCCAGTGAGCTGTGTCCGAGCTGAGCTGCCGCTGAGCTGCCAACAGGTGACAGGATGGCTCAACTGGTGAGAGCACATGCTCCTAACAACAAGGCTGCCTGTTCGAGATGGTGGGCTATGCCCACCCGCAACTAAAGACTGAACTCAGCACACTGAGCTGAGCTGACACCTGGGTGGCTCAGAGGGTAGAGCGCACGCGCTAAACAACAGGGCTGCCGGTTCAACTCCTGCATGGGATGGTGGCTACACCTACCAGCAAGTAATTGAACACAGCACCTTGAGCTGAGCGGCGTGACTGGGCTTGGAGCTGAGCTAGCTGTGCCCTCCACAACTAAGACTGAAGGACAACAACTTGTCTGTTCTCCTTCCCCAATTCCCCAATAAAATCTTTAAAAAACAAAACAAAACAAAAAACAAAAACAACAAAATAACTCCCTGCCTAAGCCTTACTCCTGACCATTGCTCATTTCAGGGACCCTTTCTGTGCCCACTGAGCCCGGTCCTCATGGTCTGAGTGCATCTGGCTTACCTGCTCAGTGGCCATGCTCCTCCAACTACAATGCCTGCCTTGGCCCAGCTCAATCTTCCCATCACTGTGGGCCAGGTCTAACCCTCGTTTCTGTCTGTCCTTCACCCATGTATACAAACCTTTTTGTGAAAGTACTTTCTATGCACTCAATTCAATCCAGCAAATACTTCCTGAGCACCTACTATGAACAATGTGCTAAGCAGCTGGGGGTGGGGTGTAGGGGAGACACAAAAGTGAACTCGACCTAGGCTCTGCCCTCAAGGAACTCAGAGGGACATCATGCTCTAACCCAAGAGATGTCCCTTTCCTGATGTACAGCATCCTGCTATCTGGCCCACACAATTCAGCAAAATGCCCATGCTTGCCCAAGGTTCAGTTCTCTCGCTGGGAAAATCATTTTCTTTGACCAAATTCATTACTCAGGAGCAATGGTAATGGAGGAATCGAGACCTGGTTAGCCAGGTAAGCCATCAGGGTACGCCAAGTCAGCAGCCCAGGCCCTGATCCCTCTGTGGGACTTTCTCATTTGGCTCTTCAGTGGTGTCCCTATGTGGGTTTTTGCTCCCAAGCCAGATAGTGGGATCAGCCTGCAGGCTTCCCTGCATGAGCTCCACACCCTCTGTAAGGCGGAAGAGTAGTCATGGGCTCAGGACCAACAGTCCTCCACGGGTCCTGCCCGGGAGGAGACAAGGCAAGCCTGTCTGTCTGGGAAGGTGCTGGGAAGGGGTGGAAGCCCCATCCTTGCCTCCCACGATGAGACCCACCTCCATCTTGGTCTGGATCCAGGGTCCGATGACGTTGGCCTGAGCACCGAACTGTTTGCGTAGCCTCTCATTGTGCTGTTGGCGGGCATGTTCCTCCATCAGGGCCTGATCCCTCCGAGGCACCAGCTGCCGCACCTGGGGCAGGAACAATCAAGGGATATTGGGGATGGGGGCAGCCATCTGCCCCGTATTTCAGATGAGGAAACAGAGAACTGATGAAGGTTGGTAACAGAGCAGGAGTGAAGACATTGATCTGTGCTAGAAATTGAGGTCATTTATTATCTTGACAGATAATGAGTATTGACTATGCAACAACAACAAAAATCAATAAAAATCAACCAACCCAAAAAGGGACAAAAATCCTCCCCTTATGAAATTTACAATGGCTCCGCCAATGCCCCACCCAGCCCTTGGACTCACATGGTCCCATTTGCCGTTGATCTCCTGAGGCGTGATGGTTGTGTAGGGGTTGGTGCCCGCCATGTTGACGTGGTAGGTCTGGACTATCTTGGACACCTCATTGTGGATGCCCAGGATGGCCAAGCGCTCCTTGTCGGCATCGGGGAGGGTGGCCTTGAACTGCTCATGGGCTGTGGTCAGTCCCTGGACAGAGAGGAGGGTGCAGGAGAAGCACTGTGACTGGAGGGGCTGGTGTCTCCGTGGGCAAGAGGAGCAAAGGGAGCCCTGCAGGCCCCAGGGTAGAGGTGGGTGGGGGGACTCCCAGGGCCCTGGAGGCATCAACCAAGGACTCTTACAGCTGAGAACCAGAAAGGCAGTGCTGACACAGGAGGGTGAAGGCAAAGCCAACAAAGCAATAGTTTCATGCTTTGTGCTGGTGAAGTCGTAGCACCCCTGGGGCACTTACCACCCACAGTCAGGTCAGAGACAAGGGGTGCCCTGAGGCCTGCTCCAGGCGACCCCCCCCCCAACACAGGCTTCCTCAGTGCTTGGTGAAACCCTTTCAATCTAACATTCTGCAGCTGTATAAAGAATGAGGAAGCTGTTTATTAATATGAAACAAGCTCCAAGATAGCTGTTAAATTAAAAAAAAAGGTTCAAGATACAGTATATAATAAAAACTACTTTTTATGTAAAAAAGGATGTGGAGAAGAATGTGTTAATAAATAAATATATTTGCTCGCATATGCAGAGACCGTGCTTACCTCTGGGGAGAGGCATTGGGGGTTAGGGGACAAGGAGTAGGAGCAAGAACTTATTGCACATCCTTTTTATCTTTTAGATTTTATGCCATGTGCATATACTACCTAATCAAAATAAGTAGAATGCAAAGGTTTTGAATGAATATAATATCCTTGAAATCCTGTCCCCACTTCTCTCTCTACAGGGGCAGTCCTGCAGGAGTGGGACTGGCAGAGTATAAGCCATGGGCAACTGGGGGAGCCGGCCTCCAGGGTTGGGGGGCTTGCAGCACACCTGGATCTCCTCGATGGTGTGCACGATGAAGGTGTCCTGTAGGTCCTCCATGGCCCCCTCCATCCAGTTGTTGAAGGGCGCGGCCCGCTTGGCGTACTCCAAGTACAGCTGGTCGATGGTCTCCAGTAATTTCTCAGTCCGCTGGAAGTGCCAAATGGGGTGGGGGTAGGGAGATGTTTAGCAGAGTCATATCCAGAATTCCTCCCCTTCCTCCAAGATCCCCCTGGCCAGCCCTGAGGGGTCCAGATCTGGACACACCAGACTAATTCAGGCAGAAAGAACAGGCTCCCTCTGCGGCACTGGTTCTTTATGTGGAATGTATGGTCTACCTCACATTCGAATCAGGAAAGTTCTCAGATGGCTGGGGTTGGGCTAAGTGCACTAAACCTAGGGGATGATACAATTCGGGCAAGAGAGAAAACATCTCCACAGAGCAAAGCCCAAATCCAGCGCCAATGTGAGCCTTCCACACTTAGGCCAGGGCTGGGGAAGGTCTAGGGGACCCAATGGAGCCTTTTAGCCCAAAGCAAAGAGTCACGAAGCAGAAAGGCACACAGAGAGCTAATGGCAGCAGGCCTCTATCTCCCTTGGGGGCCCTCACCTCCAGGGCTTCTCTCCGCTTCTGGGTTAGAGCCCCCAGATTATCCCACTGGTCACAGATCTTTTGGCACCGTGCATTGACACTGGGTGAGTCGTAATAGTCCAGCTCACTGGGAAGGAAGAGACAGAAAGAGTCAGGTGACCCAGGCTACCTCTGTGGCCTGCTCTCCAATTCCTGAGGCTGGGGGCCCTAGTGGTGCTGGAAGGTCAGGTATGCTCCCTTCATCATGACCTTCCAGGTGCCTCTCCCAAGCCCCCAACTCCTTGGTTTTCAAACCACTGCGAGGAGGCCAAGAAGGCCAGTCCTCCTCTTCAAGGGTCCCCACCTCAACCTTGGCTGGAGGCAATGCCTGATGTTGACCTGATGTTCAACATCAGGGAGTCGCTGAGGCAGTGAGAGCTCAGAGCCAAGACTTGGTCAGTCTCTCCTCCTGCACTGGTTACAGGTAAGGACCAAAGGCCTGCGGCAGGAGGGGTCATGGGTTCATTCCCCACTGGGAGGGACATTCGTCCTCTGTATTGACGACATTCCTTCTCAGACACTGGGCTGTGCCCATCCTACTCACTTATCATGATCACACATCCATCTCCCATAGCAGCCCCGGCCCTCAGCAGGCCACACTTACTTGAGCTCCTGTGCAATGGCGGCAATCTGCTCCACACGGTCCTGGTGGGCGGCCAGGTCACTCTCAAAGGCCTCATGTTTCTTGAGCAGGGCCTTGATCTCTGAGAGGGTGGCCGTCTCATAGTCCTTCTGCCGCAGCATGATCTCTTTGCCTGGGTTCGGAGAGATGGTACAAGGCTGAGCTGAAGCTGGTGGCTGAAGGGAGGCCCCATCTTCTTGAACTGACCATCCACCCCTCAGGGCAATAGGAGCTCCACTTCCAGGGGTCTATCCCAAGGAGATGCCCACCGTACAATGTCCAGTCATCTGCAGGAAAAGCAGATGTGCGACCAGAACATCCACTAGGGGGTTGGGCCAGGCAAGTTACTATTCTCCATGGAGCGTGCATGGCGGCATCAGAAGTGGTTACATACCAAGGCTATGCGAGACTATGGGGCATGTATAGGGTGTGACACTAACTTTATGAACAGCAGGAAACGATCTATGTCCTGTGGTACAACCAGGAAAAAACAAGCCAAGCAGTCAGGGGTACCCCATCTTTAGTTTCTCTTCTTATTGTTGCTAGCCTCCATCAGCCCTGCAGGGACCCCTCCCCTTAATTACTCTCAGTGTGTCCAGGACACTGTACACAACATCCATCAATGGCCAGAGCCTTCTCCGACCATCAGGTGCACTGCCCTCTCACTTTATGGGTGGGCAGGGCTTGCATTTCTTGGGTTTCTATTTCCTGGGGGAAAATGGGATGAGATAGGTACAACTTCCGGGAGACTGTTGTTAGATGACAATCGAGAGCCACTTTGTGAAACGACTGGCACAGGAAAGAGGCTGACTTGGCCTTCTTACACACCCACCCATGTCTGCATACCCACCCGTGTCTGCACGCCCACCCGTGTCTGCACGCCCACCCTGTGTCTGCACACCCACCCCATGTTTGCACTCATCATAGATGCTCAGCCCCTCTCAGTAAATGAAGGCAGGGCTTCAAGGCTGAGGGCTGTGCCCAATATGACATTTCTTTCCTTCTCTCTAGTCTTTAAGTCAGAATAATAATACAATATAAAAAAATTACAGATGAGCCTACATATCTACTCCTTTTCAGTCTTTCCTTATGTGGATGTGGTGTTAAAACCACAGGGTATATATAAAGTAGTTTCCTGCTTTTAAAATATTCAGCAGCATATCATCGGAGTTTCTACTTTGGCTCCACAGTCTTCCTATGAGCCCCTCCGACAGCTGCAAAGCTTCCATCACTGGTGGAACCACTCGCCATCCTACTGTGGGCCATCAGGCCCCTCAGCTTGCACTATTGTAGATGGCCTCACTGCAAACGTCTTCAGACACAAGATTTCTCTCCATGTTTAGGGTTTATTCTTTAGACAGTCTTAAGAAACGGAGTTCCCAGGTTAGCAGGCAATAACACTGTTAGGTATGAATGCATGTGGCCAGACTGCTTTTGTCAGAGATTGTGCCGGCACCTACCACTGGCACGCCAGTCCACGCATGGCCTTGCTGGTGGCTGGCAAGCGGACAGGGTAACCCTGTGAGCTGTTCCTTGGTCCCAGAGAGGACATAATAGAAGCATGTGGGTGAATCGGTACAACCTCCATCATCCTCCTGCCACTCTGCCACCAAGATAAATAACTCCATACATTCACAGTGGAAGGTGGGCAGCGATCTCCTATCATTGTGTTCAATGTATACGTACTTACACACGGTGGTACTCCAGCATATGTACTTACAACGGGGAGCTAAGCGCAATACTCCATCTGAGTCCAGCGGACTTCTATCCCCTACCAAGCCAAGCCACTCCCAAGTGGCCATAGGAGGTGTCCGTTTCTACTCATATTCAGCCTAGGGTGTGAGGAGCATGACAGAGCTGAGAAGGGAAGCCTTAGGGCACTGAGCTCCACCAGTCAATGGGGTCTACCCCAGGGGCTCCCGCTGAAATGGGTGCAGGGCCCTAAGATTTGCACAGCCCCGTTCCCTTCTCCAGCCCCAGCCCAGGTTCTGACAAAAACACTATTCCAGGTATGATTTTTCTCTCTTTGGAGTTAACCTTATCTGCCAATAAGCAGATATCAGACATAGCCCGAGTGCGTCCAGGTTGGAGTAACGGACACATATACGTGCTAAGGCAAGGGCTCTGCTTCTCTGTAATTGGAGACCAGAAACAGGAAGTAAGAAGGCAGTGGAGGAAAAATACCCAGGGCAACCATTTCCGGAGTGCATTCCATGTGCTGGGCACTCAACTAAGTATGAAATGTATTTGCGACATTTAAGCCTACCACAGCCCTATGGGGAGGTGTACTGGGTTGAATAGTGTCCCCCCAAAATTCATGTCCACCCAGAACTTCAGCATCTAACTGTTTTTTGGAAATAGGGTCTTTGTAGATATAATTGGTTAAGATGAGGTCATAATGGATTAGGATGGGTCCTAATTCCAATGTCTGGTGTTTTCATTAGAAAAAGGAGAGGGAGATTTGGTCACAGAGACACAGAGGGAAGCAGCTGTGATGATAGAGGCTCAGATTGGAGAGAGACAAGCCAAGGAATGCCAACGACTGCTGGCAACCAGTCTCTAGCAGGAAGCATGAGATGGCCTCCCTCTCAGAGCCTCCAGGAGGCGCCAATCCTGCTGTCACTCAGTTTAGGGCTTCTGGCCTCCTAAACTGTGGCGGAATATGTGTCTGTTGTGTTAAGCTACCCAGTGTATGGTAATTTGTTAAGGCAACCCTAGGAAACTAATACAGGAGAGCACATCATCATCGGCATGGTATAGACGAGGAAATGAGACCTGGGGGTTAGTTAAGTCACTCATCCAAGTTTACACTGCTGCTTCTCGGTGGCAGGACTCGAACCGCAACCTAACTGACTCAGGGAAGAAGAAACCAGTACAATGACCAGAAAGATCAGCAGTTAACATGTACGTAGCAATGTGCTAAGCCAGGGACTCGTCTCAGTGCTTCATATGTACTAATTCATTTAATTCTTATAAACCTATGAAATTGATATTATCCCCACATTACAGATGAGAAAACTGAGGCCACCAAAAGGCTAACGAACTTACCTAATGTCAAAGAACTAGTAAGAGAAAATAAAACTAACAAAAAGCAAAAGAAAGGTTTGTGGCTGGTAGCTGGGTTGGGGGAGCGTGAAAGCCAGAGCCCTCGGGGAACCAGGAGTATGGGCTGGCCTTACCGTCCGTCCAGGCCTCATGGATGGAGGCCTTCTGCCGGAACTTCTCTGCTAGGTGGTCGAGCCGCTCCAGCCTCCGGATCTCATTCAGCAGCCATTCCTCATAGCCCTTCTCTGCCTGCTCCAGGCAGCCCCAGGCGTTGTTGATGTCCTGTGGGAACAGGAGGTGAAAGGTCAGGGCCTGGCTTGACCCTGCACCAGAGACTCCCCCCACAGCTGCTCCATGCCTCCCAGGAGGAGTCTCTTCCCCATCTTGGCTATACCCAGCTATATCTACCTAACCCCACGGGTATTTTCCTGGGTGCTTGAGCACCTGGCCACCTAGGCAGTGAGTGGGGCCCAGGTTCACATGGGCTACCCAGCTATGGGGCTTTGGGGTTCCAGCCCTCTGAGGAAAGAGTCCAAGGCCCTCTGTGGCCCCAGGACTGACTTCTAACAAGATTCTAACCAATTATAGAACTTGTAGCACCAGCCAGGTTAAAAGAGAGCAATGAACTGATCAAGGCAAGCAGGAATGAGGGCCTCCCCGCCTCCGCACATTTTTGAGTCTGCTCACTGGCTCTAGCAGGTAGCCTGGAGCCTTTGGGGACCCTGGCCTGGGACAGCCACCTAAGAGTCTGAGGGCAGTGACATGTTGAATACAAACCCCGTAGCTTTTCAGACAGGAAGCCACCAACAGGGCCACCCCCTACAGTTAGCACAAGGGAACCCAGCTGGGCAGTGAGTGACAGGTGGAACCTGGCCTGCATGCCACCCAAGTCCCCAACTTGGTCTCCACTGTCTGCCCAGGGGCCAGGCTGCATCTGCCCAAGTGGGGCGGGGGGTACTCTCTTCCTTGTACAGAGCATCCTCTGCCTGGGTGAATTGCAGCAATTCTGACCACCTAAAAGCTGCTATTTCAGCCTGGAACCTATACAAGGACTACAATTTTCCAAACTGCATACACAGTGTCTGGGGCCTTTTTTCTTACCTCCCGATTCCCCTGGAATCCTGCCTTCCTCCAATACTGTCTGCACGTTTCACCTGTTCCCCCCCATTCCTGCCTCATATGCCCAGGTTTTCTCATTACTCTCCATTTTAAAGAGCAAAAGCTCTATTCTGGTGAATTTTTAAAGTGCCTTTTGAATGTATCTCTGGCTCATAAAATTTCTCCCCCCAATCCTGAAGAGAGGGTACGGAGAAAGAAACAACATAAAAAGTGACATGAAGAGTATTTAGTGACATGGAAAGGTAGTCACAATATAATGTTAATTTTTTAAAAACAGCTTATTACATAAAACATGCTTTAAAATTTGCTTAAAAGTTGTATAGAAAGACTAAAAGAACCTTTCCCCTCCAAAATATTTGAAGGTGATACTGGGTAGTAAGATTATAAGTAATTGCTAGTTTCTGTATTTTGCTTATTTGTATCTTAGAAATACCCTACCACAAAAATCTGTTACTTGTTTAAGGCAATAAAATTTTTTAAGTGCTTAAACAAGGTTCCACAGAAGTAAAAATTATCTTTATCACTATTGAACTATGCCCTGTTGTGTTCAATATGTCAAGAGGCATTCTGTTTGCAAAGATGAATTTTGAGGGCAGGGGAAGTCGTGGTGCTGGGGCGTCTCGGGTGGATGGTCAGGGATCTGAAAGGTCAAGTCTGACCCGGAATGGTCAGGAGAGGAGCCACCCCACATTGCTGAGTGTGAGCTGGAGCCTGGTGGAAACCCGGAGGGAGAAATGATTTCTGGAGCAGTGTACGCAGGTAGAAGAAAACGGTACCGCACCGGAGCAGCTCAGGGATGGCGGCACCTGGCTGGGGCCCAGGCTGGCCCACTGGGCTCACCGAGACCATCCTGCCCTCGGAGGGCATGAAGGCGGGCCGGTTGCTGAGGCGCAGCTTGGTCTGCAGCGTGTTGAAGTTGATCTCCAGCTGGCACTTCTCCTGCACCTTGGGCGGCTTGTGCAGGCGCCGGTAGTCGCGGAAGTCCTCCAGCTTCTGCTGCATGGCGTGCATGGTGTTCTCAGGCACCCGGTTCTCCAGCCACGGGATGGTGCGGCGGATCCACTCCAGCAGCTGGTGGGGGTGGGGGTAGGGTGTGAAGATGCTGGGAGGAAGGGAGGGACAAAGGGCAGCTTCCCTCTCTCCCAACAGCCAGCCGGGAGGTGGTGGGGAGTGTCACTTCTGACCACACTCCTTCCCAGCTACCATGCGAGGGCATTCCCAGGCCGTGAAGCCAGGTTCCTGGGTGTTCCTTCTGAGAACCACAGGCTTCATGAAGCTTGGCCACGAGGGTACGTTAACTCACAGCCAGCATCATTCAGTCTTCCTGCTCTGCCAGGGGAAGAACTATAGCCATGGTGGGAAGATGGCTCGACTAAGACCTGAGTTCTAGCTCTAAGTCTACCACCTGGCTGGGACTCAGTTTCCTCATTTATACCATGAACAAGGTTAACAGTTGTTCCCTGAAGCCCTTGCCACCTGACCTTCTAGGATTCTATAATAGAATGTGGTCTCTGACTCGAAAGAGAAGCAGCTGGCTTTGGGGGCACAGGCAGGGAACAGCCTGGATTGCTGTCCTGGATGAGGCGATGAAGGAGTGGAAGTGATGATAGGAATACTGCTCACCTGCACGACGCCAGGCATGCCACCCAAACTAACTCATCTGTACAATCACAGGAATCCTATGGGATTAAGTGCTGTGATCCTCCCCCAGGTTAGAGAGGAGGTAACCAAGGCACTGTGAGGTTATGTGACTTGCCCAGGTGACCCAGGTAGAATGGTAGAGCCGGGGTTAAACTCAGGCACTTGGGCTCCCAAACTTGGGTTCTTACTCTGCTGGAGAGCAGACCCACCAAGAGGCCAGGCTCAACTGCTCAGAAAGCTGAATTCTTTTAGAAAGAAGCAGATGGAGCCTTAACTCAAATGTAGTCAATGGCAGACAGCAAACCCATCCCTGTCCCATCCTGTCCCCTGGGTGGGCCCAGCCACCAAGTTAGCCTGAGCCAGCACTGAACTGTCCCTGGTTTCTGCCCTCTCAGAACCAGACATGCTCCTTTTCTGGTTTAAGTGAAACTCACAGAACAGTACACGAGGCCTTTCTGAGGTCCCTTGACTCAAATCTCACTTGACAAGTGATAAAAACCAAGACCCAGAGAGGTGACGGGACTTCCCAGGCTCACTGTTGACAACAGAAAAAGCCTGGAACTCAGCTCTCTGAAGCCCAGAGATTGGCCCCTGACTCATCTCTCTGCTTTTTGGGAGGGCCAGAGCGGGACCAAGGCTGCCCTGGGTCAACTGTGCTGGAATCATGGACTACACCCAGCCTGGGACTGTGCCCCAGGGATGGATTTGGGGGTACAGGCTTTGGGGCTCTCTTTCCTCTTGGGTGGGGTGGCAGGGCCTTGCTGGGGCCAGGGGAACCCGGGGTACCCACATCGCTGGCCAGCTTCTCGTAGTCTTCCATGAGCTGCTCATTCTCCTGGTTGACGGCCAACACCTTACAGATACGATTGGCTGCTGTCTCCGCCTAGCAAAAAGACAGAAGGTCACGGGTGAGCCACCGGCAGCAGGAGCACCTGGTACTCACCTGCGCCAACAACGCCTCCTCCCACCCCTGCAGCTCCACACGGCTGGAAGGCAGCCCCTGAGGCTTTGAATCCACATCCTCCTCGCCCCTCCTCATCCTCTTTGCCAGCCCAGGCTGGGTCCCATACATAAGTGGGGCCCAGACAGAAGTCTTGGTGGCTGAAAGGCCCCTGGAGAAAGGCTTGAGTTGGAGACCCGACACACATGTCAGGAAGAAACTAATCCAGAGGACTGATATAATCAAGAGGCTCAGGTCAGGTGGTGAGATGATTTCATGCCCATCCTGGAATTCCAAGTGGAGGCCCTGGGACTCCCACGGCTCAGGATCTCAGGCTGGGTTTGCCGGGATCTTGGAGATGAAGGAATTCCAATCTGGGAGTCCTAGAATAAGTGCTGACTGAGAAGCAGTGGGGCCTCTCGGGATCCCTACAGAATCTCTCAAGGCTCCTGGCCCAAAACTTGAAGCGCTTTTAAAACTCAACCCAGTATGAGCAGGATGCCCAGAAAGGTCGGCATGGACACCTCTGGGAAAGTGAAGCACACATCGTGCACTGAGAGCTGGGCACGCAGACACCCAAGGTGGGCCTCAGCAGCCAAAAGAAACGAAAGAGGACTGAATGGTAACCAGATACAAAGGCCTGGAAACCCCAAGGAGATGCTGCCTTCTCCGGTCGTGGGGGGAACTGTGCACCTAAGGCCAGGAGGGGCCAGGTGTTCCTAATCCACTTTACTCAGGTGACTTAAATTCAGCTGTTTTTGTGCACATCCTAACCCAACTCCAAGGGAAGGGAACTCAAAGTTCCCTTTGAGTCCTGTGGTAGAAAGGAAGATAGATAATCCCTGTGAGGAGACAGATACACATCTTGGAGACCTAGAGAAGGGTGATCCTGCAGATGACAAAGAATGACAAAGCCTCAATGGATAGAAAGATGGGACCTCACAATTGGTTAATGAACAAGACAAAATGGGTTTCAACTGCAGCAAGACAGACTGAGGCTAGGCATAAGAAAGAACTTCCTGAGAATGAGGAAGGAATTTGGATTGGTGAGGAATGGTTAAGAAAATGTAAATGTTTTTTCCTTGCAGAACTTTTCAAATAGGACATACGCATAAGATCACGTGATTTGTGGGTGACTGTGCTGGGAAGTGTGTATAAGGGGGCGGAATGAGATCATCATAAATATGGTCCTTTCAAGGGACTGCACCCACCAGGTTCAAGTATCAGAGAGGGTGGGCCTCCACCAGGGGAACTATGGAAATGGCCAGAGGAGGAGCTAAGGGATGGAGACTTCAAGTCCCAGGTCTCAAGAAACTGAGGCAAGGAGTCACATCCTTAGGCCCTCATCCTCTGCCCCCCACCCCCAACTCAGCTCTGTGCTAGAAATGGCAGGGCCACTTCACACACAGAACTTCTGGTTGATCATCCTTCCTTTGGGGAAACAAGTAAACCATGGGGAATCCCAAGAGGTGACAAGCAGGGAAATTCCTTCCTGGAGCCTGTCCCAGAAGATGTGGAGCCCCACAAAAAGCAAGGTCATGGGAAACAGGCCGAAGTGTCCCACAAGGCTAGTGGGGGGTAACAAGCTGTCCTGAAGTCACTGGGGCCATTTGAAGGGTAGGACAGGGGATGCAAGGGAGGCCAGTGCTCTACTCTGCGCCGACATTTCTGTGAGAGCATGGGGTAGCTGCAAAGGCTCCGGCCCAACGCGCTGGCCAAGTGGGTAAGCATCAGTGGGTAGGGTGGCCACTTGTGGCAGGCTACCAGCTGCTGCTATGGTGGTTCATGGGTAAAGCGCCCTACTTAACCTTCTTATCCTCCTGATTCATCTTGAAATCCTGGGCTCAGGAGTCACCAACTTCGATTTGTGTATCAATTTATCAAATTGGTGGACTAAGTGAGGCCTGCGTTCATAGGATTTTAGGGGCTATGTCCTGTGGGTCTCAGGGGTCTTGCCCATCCCTCAGAGCCTTTGGGCTGTTCCAAGGTCAAAGGGGGCTCCTTTTGGACCAAGTCTGAGGGAGTTCCCGCATGGGCTTCCTGGGGACTTTTCATAAAGACCAACCTCTTTCCCCGTCCCAGCCCCTCAGCCTCCCCCTCCCAGGCTGGCCTTGGCAGGAGCACAGTTTGGCAATCATTATAGCCAAAAAAATCTGTCTTTGGAAATAAAGCATGGCCATCAAGGAATAAAAGAAGGCTTTCTTTAGAAGAGACAATGGCCTGTCTGCAAACTCCATCAGGGTTGCCGCCTCGAGGGACAGCCAGCTCCCACCACTACCAGGAAGCAGGCTCCTGGAATCCAGACCTGGCTTGAGAAAAACAACAGAGTCCTCAGTACCTTGACCTTTGCTCTCACTGCTCACCTCCCCTCCACAGGCAGGCAGGCACCCCCTGCAGAAGCCTGCTAGGTGATGAGTTACATGGCTTCCACATCAGTCCCTTTATAGAAAAGGGTTCAGTCACCCACCAACCCCAGCCAGGAGGTCAGAGAAACCAGCCTAGGAAGCACAAGCTTGGTAAGTCCTCCAGGACATAACCCTGGAATGGAATGCAGACAAGACTCCTGAGGGTGGGATCGGGACCAACCCCTATCATCCCAATTTCCTGGTTTTTAAGCTTTTTTTCTCTCATGGCTACCAGAACCCCAGGCACTATGGGAGATTTAGGAGAGAGGCACCCAGCGCCACCCAGTCATAAAGAGGTGGCTTTAGTTCAGAAGCTCAAAGGAGAGATTTGTTCTATGGGAGGCAAGATTCATTCCCTGAGAGAAACTCAGAAATCGAAACAACTTCAAGGTCCTGGCTTCAGGCTAGTCCTACATGAGGAGATGGGGTGATCTGGAACCCAAGAAGCAGAGCCAGAACACCCAGCCCTGTCTCATGGCGACGGAATTTGCACGAGATAAGGGACTTAAGCATGGATTATCAATGGGCTGAGAAAATATTTTACAGAAAAAGGCAAATTGATTACTTCCAAGCGACAACGAAAAAGACTTGTAAAATTTGTGTTCACCTTTCCTTGGTTTATATTTTCATGACCTACTTTAAGTTGTATTATTTCACAGCCTAACACAGAACAATATGTTTGATTTTAGTGTTATTTTTTAAAAGCATGGACTATTATTTCTGAAATACTTAGATTCCCAAATGAAACACTCAAGCTATCCCAAGCCACTCTGCTGCCCTAATAATTAGCATCATATTAGCTGGTAGAGGTAGAGTCTGGAGAGGAACCATCCTCAAGGTGATATCAAACATCCAAAACGTGGCCAAATGACACACCATGGCTCTGCCACCCACAACCCACAGATTCACACGAATGCCACAAAGACCTCATCTATGCTATTTTGAATCAAAAATTTACCAAATCTAACTAACATTGCCCATTTCCTTCCGCCCAAATCAGCACCCAGCCTTGGTGTCCCTTCCAATGAGCACCTCCCGACCCCCTACCGCCATGGGAGCTGACAACATGGTGGCTCAGTCCTGTCCCCTGCTGCCATCTCTGGTTTGCTCCAGTATTCCCTGCTCCGGGCAGTGGGATGAGACCCAGCCAGCACTAACTTGCTCTCCTCTTGCAGGAAGTCCTCTGCCACACCTCAAAGCTTTTGCACAAGCTGTGACCATAGTCCTCAACAGCACCGGCTGCCTTCCCAACCCCCCCTGAGCCTTTTGCTTGCGGGCCCCTATTCAACCCTGAAGACCCTCAAGTTCAAGTGCTTCCTACTTAAGAAAGCCTTGAGTCCTGCAGCCCTGTGGCCTGCCCTCCCCTGCTCAGGTCTACAGCAGAGCAGAGCATTGGCTAGACACCAACTTCTTTGATTAAGGGTTTTTCCAGATGGACCATGAAGTCCTTGAAGACAGGAATGGGGTTTCTCTCCCTTAGATGATTCACAAAAGTAACTAACAGGCAATTGGAGGATGTAAATAGCACCATCTCCTAAAAGCATCCAGAAACACCCACAGCAGATCAGTTCATGCCGTCAAGGTTTGTTTCTCAGAAACTGTTCCCAATAGACCATGAACTTTAAAGCTTTACAAATTGCATCAACAAAATTTGGTTGCTCTCTGCCCATTCTAAATCCCTACAGGGGAAGAGAAGGGGAGAGGAGAGCTGAGAAAGAATTGGAACCAAAACCAACGGGTCAAACAAAAGAGTCAGTCCTCATCTGGCTAGGAAAACCAGTCACGCACACTTGCATGCCACTGGCCTGTGTGGATGCACGTGAACACACACGTGTACACACACGTGCATGCATGCATTCATTTCTATTTCCACTGTCTGAGGCTGGACAAGAGAAAGAAGACAGTGGAGGGGATGGAGGGCACTGGCATGGGTCTCGGAAGACGTCCCCCAATGGACTCCACACATAGAGATAGTCAAGACACAAAGGATGTGTGAGTCTGAAAGAATCCTCCTTCTTCCACAGGAGAGGGAGAAGGTTCCCCTCCCACTGGCCTGCTTAGCTGTAAGGAGTCGCCTGAATCCTTAGAAGTGGTTAGAGGCAACGCTGGGTGAGGCCCCTCATCCAGGACATGAGAACACCCACCTCCCCTCCCCTCCCCCTACCCAACTGGTGACCTTGTCCTCAAATGTGGACAAAAGGAGCATGAAATGGTTGCAGCAGGGATGAGTGACGGGGAAGAGGGCATGGGGGGAGGTGGTATGAGATTTGGGAGGCAGAAAAGCAGGCTGGTACACGCGCGCGCGCGCACACACACATGCACGCACACGCATACACACATTCCCTTCTGAGCGGTACCATCAGCCAGGACACAGGGAAGGCTTCAGAGTCAGGGAAGGCCAGTGTCAACAGGCATGAAGCCCAGGATGGAACCCCTGAAGGAGGAGAGAAAGAGGAAGGAGAGTTGGAAAGAGGGGAGACCACAGCAGAGAGCTCAGCCTAGCCACGGACACTGGCAAGCAGACTGTCTGTGGTTATCAGGGCTGGGAGCCCACCGAGGCAAGGAGATGGCGCTGCTCACATCCTGGCTCAAAGGCGGGGGCAAGAGAGGCCAGAATAAGTTGACTAGAGAGCAGCAGCAGAGGTGGGACAAAGAGAAAGAAGCAGCAAGAGGCAGGCCAGAGAAGAGGTGGAAAGAGTCTGCAAGAAATGGGTATCCTGGAGGGCTGGGACACCTACGAGGAAGCCTCCAGGTGGGGCTGCTCTCCTGTCTCAGTCAGTGCCAATGAGGCCTGGAAAGAAGGTGAAGAAGGCCTTGAGTGCCCATCCCAGCCAGGAATAGGGCTGCCACCAGCCCAGAGGGTGCCTTTGCATAATTTTCTAAAGGCACCTCTTCCTCAAGGCACTTTTGCTGAAAACATGTCATACTGATTATGTTAGAAGACATTTTTACTGCCATCTGCAGGATTTTAGTAACGAATATTCAAATCTTCATTGTCTGTGGTGCATGTGGGACACCCTTGTATTGTGTGCAACCTGCACCACTGTCCATAGCAGGACTGGTTAGAAGGATCAGGCAAGGCTCTGAGCCTCCAGCCGGAACACTAGGCAGAAGGCAGGAAGGCTTCTCCCTGCCTTGGCTGCTGGGTTATTTAAGAGGATGGTCTTGCCTAAGCAGAAAGGAGGGAAAGAGAGAGAAGTGAAGGGGGCCTGGATGTTTAAGGGAATAGTCAGGAAGCATAGCCAAGAGCTGTGCTGCTTGGGATAAAGGCTCTCGACTCAGGGTCCAGGGAAGCAGCTGAGACCACAAGCTTCTTTCCATGTGTGATATCCACTATGCCCACTGTGTAGGGACAGGGACACTGGGTTCTCGGGCACCTTCAAGTGTCCTGTCTTCCTGCGAGAGGAAGAGGGGCATCTCTAGTCCCTCCTTTCATTCCAGGGGCTGCAGCCCCAAGATGGCTGCTGGAGTATCCAAGGAGGATGAAGAGGTGGGCAGAGGGCAGCAGGGAGAGTGGGCGAGGCCGAGGGAAAGCTCACCTTCTGCGCACCTGAGAAGGCGTGGCAGTGACATGAAACATTAGGTCACATGGCCTTCCCATCCGGCCTTAGCGTGCCTACATATCTGCACAGAGAAGGAGAAGAGGTTGAGAGGAGAAAGTGGGCGGCAGCAGCACAGAATAAACCAAAACAGCCACAGTGCACGGAGAGAACACAAGATGGACAGACAGAAATGAGGAAATGGGCAGAAAGAGGGAAAATGAGATGGTGGGAAGTGAAACGGGGTGGGGTCGGACAGAGCACAGTCTGAGACAAGGAAGGGAGCGACAGCATCAGGGGAAGGCCGGGCAGAGGGAGACAGGTAAGGGGAGCACCCCCATCATGCATTTCAAGACAAGGCACTCAGACGCCATGCCAAGGGTGGGAAATTTGCTTGCGCACATGACAGGCCCACAGCCCAAAAGCTGTGAAGGCCACTCCTGTGGTCCTGTGTTCATGGCGACCTGGATGTTGTGCTTCTGGAGTCCTGCCTGTGAGGGGAGCCTGGCAGGGGGCTCCCGCTGCGTGAGCTAAGCTTGGTAAGGAAACCATGCAAATCTTCAATGTCTGCAGTGTGCATGGTGCCCTTTAGTTGTGGTACCCTTGTATAGTGTGGAACAGGCAGCACTGGACTTGAACCTCAGGCCTCCCTGAGCAAAACTGGGTCTGGACACTTGAAGGGGCTCAGAGCTGCCTACCTCCTCCCTTCTTCTTTCCAATGGCTTGTGCTTATGTCCAGGAACACGGAGTGCAAAGTGATCCCACATAGGAATCCCAGGCAGGATACAGGAGAAGGCACCAAAGCCCAGAAGGGCAGTGCGCAGATTAGCTAAAATATGTCCATGAACAGGAAAAAGGTGGGGGCTTCATGTTACCTTTGCAAAATAGGTCAGTGAAGACAAGAGATACCTCCCCGATCACTTCCCTAGACAAAGCCCTGCAGCTCTGATAGAGCCTAAAGCTCCAATGGAGGTGGGCACGCAGGGACCACTGCCCACTGTGCATTCCAGAGCCACCCCGGGCTCATTTCACCCATGCAGCCCTTCCTGCTGAAAACAGTGGTCTGGGTCTCAGAAAGCGAGTTCTTGCCCAATTTTCTGAGACAGTAGAGGAAGGTGAGAGAAAGAGCAGAGGTGCAGGGTAAGAAAGGAGCTGGGTAAACACAACATGCCACACTGGCACCAGGGGCTAACTCTACCAGAGACAGACCATCCAGACCCTGTCACCAGGGAGAGGCGGGGGTGGGTGGAAGGGCATGGTTTGGGGTCCAGCATGAGGTGTGCTGCGTAAGGAAGGAGCAGGGGCTCCCAGTACCTTCTGGGCTCCGGAGAAGGCATGGTAGAAGCTAGACACGTAAGTCATGATGGCTTTCTCATCCGGTCGGGCGGTCCCAACGATGTCTGTCAAGAAAAATCTGGAGTTAAAGCCAGCTGGTGAACACATGGTATACCTCCTGATGTGATGCTCACAGAACCACCAACTTTTCTTGCCAAAACGCTGAGCCTGAATCTAACCAGCTTCTGGCATCAACTTCCCCTGACAGGAATATGAGAGGCAGAGGAAAGAGTGAAATGGGGCCCCCAGGAAGCAGACAGACAAACCCAGAAAAAGAAACAGTCCATGGGACAGTTGGCCCAGTTTCTGCAACAAGTTCAACAGCAGGAATAAAAGAGGTCGGAGGGAGGAAAAAGTGCTCCATATCAGAAAAGACAAGAAAAATAACAACTAAATGCCAGGTGCAGACCTTGTTTGGATCCCGATTAAAACAAACCAACTCTAAAAAGAAACAACTGGGGAAATTTAATTTTGAACTGGATAGTGGATGTATCAAGGAATTTGCAAGGTGGAAATATTGCTTTATGGTTGTCTAAGAAAATATCCATATTTTAAAGGTATTTGTATGAAGTATGTAGCAGTGAGATGCCATGATGTCTGAGATTTGCTTTAAAATATTTCAACAAAGAAGACAAAAAAGAGGTATTGTAATAGCTCTGTGCAATGTCAGATGGGTAATAGGCTTGTTGGGGTTGTCACTTGGTGAGGTGTGCAGATGTCTAATCACTATGCTGTTTTGTACACCTGAAACTAATAATAAAAAAAAGGGAAAGAAAAAAAGTGAGACAAAATTTCAATAACTGTTATATCTGCATGACAGGTATACGGAAGTTTATTATACTTTCCTCTCTACTTTTGTATGTTTGAAAATGGCCCCACACACAGACAGCTACTGTTAAAAAATATCACACCTCCCATCTAGTCTCCGAAGGGGCCATTCATCTTTCCAGAAAGTCTTTTGCTTTTCCATAACTGCCAGTTCTTCCCCTCCCCTTAAAAATTAGGTGTGTGTCTATACCCCAAACTCTAACCACTCCCTGGGGTCATTCATCACTGCAAACTCCCCTGTGAACGTATTATGCACATGTTAATAAACTTCTGTTTGCTTTCCTCTTGTTCATCTGTTTTTTGTCAGCCTAATCTGCAGGGCCCCATCTGGAGAACACAGGAGGGTAGGGAGAAAATGATGTTTTCCCCTCCCCTACAACAACAAAGGAATACCGTGCTCCACCCCAGCACCTGCTATCAACTCCAAGACAAAGATGAGAACCATCCTCAGGCAGCCGTGCAGAAACAGCCTCCAACTCCTTAAAGCACCAGCTATCACCTCTCCCTCCAAACCTCAGAAAACTCTGGAATCCCTTCCTTACAGGCTGGTGACCCCAAGGCTCCGCCAATGGGATCCCAGAGACCAGGGCTTCCTCCTTCCTGCCGCAGGCTGCTGGGACCCACCCCTCTTGGCCACTGGGTGGCAGATGGGAGAAGAGCTGGAGGCCCAACAGGAAAGCGTCTTTACCTTCAGCATCCAACATCTTGGGGATATCCAGGTATTTCTCTGCCACGTCAAAGGCCGTGTTCAGATTTGTGAGCGGATCGTCCTAGGGAACAGGGGGAAGGGATTGTTAGACCGTGAGCAGTATGACAAGTCACTGGCTACCCCCATCTGGGTGATCACCAATTCTTGGTGGCAGAGAGGATGACTACAGCCCCTCCCATATTAGGTCCTCGGGAGCCAGCTCTGGGTGTAGAAGGCTGGTCTCACTGCAAGGGCTGGCTGGCTGCTGGCTGGGGGTTTAAAAAGCCATCTTTCCTCCTCAAGACTCCATTTCTTTTTCAGAGAAATGGGGTAAAGAATACTGGCCAACAGCCCAAGAAAGAATTGCTAAGAAATGAATGTGAGAACAGGGTGCTGGCCAGGGTGCCGTCGGTCTTGGCTTCTGGTTTCCGCTCTGCCATCGGTCAGTGGGACTGGCAAGTAACCCGGCCTCAGTTTCTTCATCTGTTACCTCTCAAGCCCCTTTGGTGCTCACATTCCATGAAATTTTGGGGCTCTCCACAGCCTTTTCACTATTCTGATTTCTGCTGCTTTCTCAAGAAAACTTAGCGAGGACTGGTGAGGATATGAAGAAACTGGAACCCTTACAAACTGTCGGGATTATAAAATGGTGCAGCTGCTGTGGAAAACAGTATGGAAGTTCCTCAAAAAGCTAAACATAGAATTACCATATGACTCGGTTTTGCAAGATGAAAAGAGCTCTGGAGAAGAACGGTGGTGATGGTTGCACACCACTGTAAATGTACGTAATGCCACTGAACCGTACATTTAAGAATGGTTAAAATGATAAATTTTATATTATGCATACTTCACCACAATAAAAAAAAATTTTTTTTTAATGGATTAAAAAAGTCTTAATGGGGGGAGTTCCTTGCTGGACTTCCCACTCTATTCTTGGTTCCCCAGACTAACCTAAAGCGAGCTGGTCTTGTCAGCCCAGGGCTGAGTTTCCCCATTTGCTAAGGTGAGAATCACAGAGTACCAAAAGATAAATACATTCATCTGGGATGCTTTCCGGAAGAAACTGCTCAAATAGAGACGGTGGAGTCCTTCTGGGAAAGTTTCCAACAGCTTCCAGAATGATAAAAAACCCTGCCAAGCAGTGACGGTCATTTCCATTCCAGGCCTTGAGCAGTCCTCAGGCCTCAGGTGCATCATACTCACCTGCCCCACTTGATTCCCGGGCCCCCACGCCCACCTAAGGCTGGTGTGCGAAGAAGCACTTCCCAGTCAGAGCCCCTCGGCTCGCCCCTGCGTCCAAGCCCCACAGTCCTGGCACCCTGTGCTTTCTGGAAAGTACCCACAATTCAGTGGGACCAGGTCTGTGCTAGGATTTGGGCTGGATTTTATTGATGCTATTGAGTTAAAGAAATGGGGAGACAGACACAGTGGGAGAAATGAAAAGACACAGAGAAGGGAGGGGGGTGGGGAGAGAGCTGGCCGGGTATCAGGCAAAGGCCCCTGGACGCTCAACTCCCATATGGCAGAGGGGCCTGGAGTCTGTGAAATGGGGAGAGGACTGGAGTCAGTGTGGGCCCCACTTTAAATGGGGGTGGGGAATAGCTGTAGATAACTGGCTGCTGCCACCCCAGCACACCCACACAGGGACATAGACACAGGCGCATCTGTCACCAAAGTGCTTCAGCTGAACAGTTAGGAGGGATGTGACGATGCCTTTAAAAGAAAAAAATCACCACCTCTAGGATTTTTGGCCGCTGTCCTGTTTGATTGGGCCACACAGCTTTCAGGTGATTAGGGGGGTTCTCACACTAATTTTTTTCTCTGCTTAGCAGCTGAGTTAGAGAATTGGGGCCCTCTCACCCGCTAAGAGACTAGCTTGGGAAGGGCTGCCCCCGTCCATGCACACCTGGACACAGCCCCGTGCAGGGCCAGGCAGCAGGCTCCTCTCCTTCAGAAGGTAGGCCCTTCCCGGTGGGCAGAGGCCTCAGCCGCAAGCTTCTGGCCCAGCTTAGGATGACCAGCGGGGACAGGAGACTGCTCTTTCCCTCCCTCATAAACCCTTTCTGGAAGCTCACTTCCCCACACCCTGGAAACAGAGGGCCTGACACCACCAGGAGTTGTCAGAGCAGTTCCCACACTGGCAACATCAAGGCTCGCTTGGCCACTGAGAAGCAGCAGAGGTCCTTCGGAGGGGCACAGGCAAGGTGGGGGTCTTCACTCAACACTGTGCTCTCCAAGTATCAAGGTCAAGTGGAGAAATAAGCCGCCTTGCCAAGAGATTCGAGCACAGACAGGCAACATCCCAACCCAAGCTCTAAATCATCAACAGGGGGCCTAAGGAAAGATCCAGGGGTGGCTTCTCCCGAGATGCCCGTGCCGTGTGGCCGAGGCACGGGAGGACGCGCTGAGAGGGAAGACGGGGCGAGTACAGTCTCCCAGGTCTGGCCAGCGTCCTTTATTTAGCCAGCCTGGACACGAAGGGCCCCCACAAAGCTAGGAACACAGCTCCCACCTCCTGGTATGCTGCTCAACACACGCACGCTCAAGAAAAATCCCCCAGCAGCTTCATGCCAAAGCATAAATGAAGTTAAGCACCAGCAAAAGAAAACCCCGCATCTAGACTTCAGCAATGAGGGAAACCCCATCCATGGTGGGAACCTGCCCAGGATTGCAGAGTGAGTCTCAGACAAGGCTGGAATAAATGCCTCTAAGGATACGCAATCTTTTAAGTTATGAAAGTAATACATCCTCCTTACAAAACCCAGAAAATTATTCCATCACCCTAACAAAATTGCTGCAGCGGTTCTCATGTTCCTGGTGGGCTGTGTGTGGGGGCAAGTACACACATGCTGTGCACATACAGTACTAAGACACATGCTGTGCACATACAGTACTAAGGCAGCCCTAACAGGGAAGGTGTTTTTCTCTTGCTTCGACACAGGCTGTTCTTGGCTCATCTAAGGAGACTGACACCCCTCCCCCTGGGCCATGGGCTCTCAGTACAAGGGGGCCACTCCCACCCACCCGGGACCGGCGGTCAGGATCTGGCTGTGGGTGGGTGGACAGGTGAGTGCACATACCTTCCGCAGCTTCCCATAGTCAATCAGCTCAGGCCGGTGTCGGTGGATCAAGGCACAGAAGCCGAGGCCATCCTTCCAGCTGCCCAGGGGAAAGAGAAGGGAGTCAGCTGGTGAGTGGGCCCAAGCACGAACCACGGGCAAAGCACTAAGCAGGGGCCTCTTTTTATCCAGAAATGGATATGTAACCCTTCAGAGCAGGTGTCAGGAGACAACAGGATGGGAAGGAACATTTCTTCCCGCCACAACTCCAGGCACGGGGGTCAAGGCTTTGTGAGTCTTGGCAAGTTGAGATACACCTGCCACATCCCCCTCTAGCCTCCACCAAGGCCATGGCCCTGTCTGCTCTGTTCTGGAGTCTCGGGCTGGAGCTCCCCAGAGACTCTCCTTGGGGAGCTCCCCAGTAGCACAAGCATCAACCAGAGGTGTGTGAGGCAGTAGCTGTGCCTGAGACACCGTTCGGAGGGAGAGGGGGCAAAGTGTCCACGGCACTCCCTTCTCATGAAAAGCGACTTCTTCCCCAAGGGCCTCTGCCCCGTTCTGGAGCTGAGACTGACCCAGCCAAGAGGCCCGGGGGCCTTGCGGGAGGCAGCCTCAGTTCTCTAACAGCCGCTTAGCCCCTTGCCACTCACCTTATGTGGAAGTTCTGGATGTTGACGTTTTTATAAGGGGCTGTCTTTCTCTGACACCACAAGAGCAGCCCTTCCTTCGCCGAAGTCTCTGTGGGAAAAGGGACGACAGGCAGGGAGGTCAGTGGATTGCCTCGGTGGAGGGAGGGCCGCTGACGCATGGGAGGCCCCACCTTGGCCACAGGGTCCATGCTCTTTCACACAGGAGGTCCATACAAAGACCCCTGGCTTCCAACCGTGCTGCCACCAGGGCAGCAAGTCTATTTCCTTAACAAAGGTTGAGAAATTATCTGATAAACACAGAAGCAAGCTAGGAAGCTTTTCAGAGCTAGCCATATTGCATATTGAAATACTGAGATAATGGCCTTTCTATCTCCCTGTCACTCCCTTGTATTCCAGAAATGGTAACAATACAAAAAAATCTGGCAACCTATGTTGGGTGGCCACTTTGGGGAGGAAGGTTTGATCGGTCTGTGAAATCTAAAGTGTAGGAATCTCCAGAGAGGGGTGTATAGGCCTTGTGGAGGGCACACAGCTGTGAGGGATGAAAGCATCAGGATTCACATGCAGATTTAGTGTTCATCGAGAAAATAAGGTTTCCTTACATTTAATGCATGGATCAACAGCGTTACTGTGTGTCTGACGTAGACACATGTCTATAAGACAGCAAGCTACCTGAGGGGACCCAGGGTGCTGCCAGCACAGGAAGGCTGCAAATGGCGTTGTCCCCATGTGTTCACACCTGTGAATTACAGGTTATGGGACCACTCAGTGAAGTGGCTTCCTGGATCTCATTTACTTTCACTTCACAACAGGGACTTTAAAATGACATTAAACAATTCCTACGAAGATAATGTAATAATTCAAGCACAAACAATTAAAAATCCAGCAAAGCTAATTCTCTTAGTTCCAGCTCCTCATCAGCTACTACAAGATAAAAATGCAAACAATTTAATCAGAGCTGACAAAAAGCCTGCCCCAAAGAATCAAACGCATCAAGAAGGCTATTTGAAAAACGGATTTATATCAATACCGTCACTAACAAGAACCATGCCCTTGGTGACTACTGTGGGCATCTTTTTAACTACTTCTGCCCTAAATACCAAGTATTGATAAAACCAAACAGACCTTCACATCATTGTATCACCAAGTGTCAAACCAAGATTTCCATAACAAAGCCATTTAATCCACATTGTTCTCATTAAAAAGTTACTTTGAATAAAAATCTTTTTAAGATTTATGGGCCATAAAAATGAATTTAAAATATTTTTTATAAATATCATCTCCATCTCATCTTCTTAAAATTTGTTTTGGTATGTGTGTTTTATAATATGCACAGCAATACATAAATATAATTTATGATAAAATAAATACACACACATCAGCTCAAAAGTTGCTGGAATGTGAAAACAAAAGTTTAGCGAGATCACTGGCCTGACCATGGTGGGCCCTTGCAGATCTGCAAAGTGGCCACAAGAGGGTGTTATGGGAGCGAAGTATAGGACCTGGGGGTCAGTTCGTCCTCCCAACCCTCTCTCGGCCTTCTCTCTGTTGCTATTCCCCTACCCTTTCCGATTTAACAACCAAAGAGCCAGGTGGGGTTTCCAATACACTTCTCCACAGCAATCTTGGGCTTTCTCAAAGTGGGGGGGGGGGGGGGGGTTCCCTGGGGCCAACACACCTGTGGGAACCAGCACCAGAAACAGTTCTTACTTCTCTACAGATTAGGAAGCAGGACAGATGCCAGCAATGGATCAAAAGTTCAGGACAGGGGTGTAAATGTCTAACTATTACATTGTTTTGTACAGACCTGAAACTAAAAAAAAAAAAAAAAGGCTCAGGATGTAGCCCACAGTGAAGCCCTGTCACTCAGGTCTGACAGCACCCCAGGCTGAGCCCAGGGAGGAAGATGTGAATGGTGAAGGTGTGGAGAGGTGGGGGCTTTGGCACAGAACAGAACAGAGCAGAAGACCTACCTTCCACGGAGATGTCCTGGATGGCAAAGCGGAGGATGATGGTCCAGATCATGCCCAGGGTCATTTTCACGTTCCCATCCACAATCTCTACAGAAGCAACAGTGTAACACGTTAGGATGGGTCTTAGCAGGGACAAAGCTAACGTTCCCTGAGTGCCCACATCACTCTGTGCACCATGGAAGGTATCAAAGACCACATAGCTCCACTTCTGGGGGAAGTCAGTATGTTTTCTAGCTACTGTAATTACATGTCACAGGTGAGAAGATCTGGGGGTGTCCTGGTGTATAAGGCATGTGTGGTCAATTCTACTGGATACATCAGGAAAGGCAACAGAGAAGGAGGTGTCTTGAACCCTGAGCGGTGTTTACCACCAGCCTGACAAAGAATGGGAGGATTTCTAAGCCATCACAAATGTTCTGGTTACTCTGTGAGCTGGGGATGTTTAGACAATTGCAGCTGCCAAAACGCCATCCACACCGGGAAAAGCCAGTGCAGGCAAAAGAAAGCAAGCAACCTAAGAAAGTTTTATAAGCTGCCATCTTGAAGGATCCACTAACTCACACATCAACTTCATAGTGCCATTAGTTGGGTATTTTTTCATTAAAAGAAAAAAAAATCAAACAGCTTCAACATCACAACTAAGATACCACACTGAATTCAGTCTAAGCAGGACTTTTTAGACTTTTAAAAAATGCTATAAATTCTATGAAGTAATTTTTTTCTGTACCAGGCAATACAAACATAAATAAGGAGGAGCCCAGACATGGAGTCATTTGTGGTCTTAGGGGCTGAGCAGGTGACAGTCAAGTGTAGACTCCTTAACCCTCACCTACTTCCAGACCAGGACACAGTAGCCTGGCCCTGTGGTAAGGCACTCTCAGTTAAGAGTTAGGCACCCAAAGAATATCTTATTTTTTTCTACTCGCAACACTAGTTTTTAGGGGAGACGCAATAGAAGCATAAGAAGGGGCAACTTCCAGGGACTCCTGGTTGCCTGAGCCCACGTCCACTAGGGTTTGCTTCCCACAAACCCCCTAAACAAGAGTGGATTCCATTAAGGAAATTACACTCTAAGGTCTCTTTCCCTTCCTCAGAAGTGAGGGCAAAATTGCATGCTGCTGTATGACCAATGAGGTACAGGGTACTGCTGCTGCTTCTTGGGGGACGGGTGACTCTGCTGAGCCTGCACTGGGGTGCAAAGCAAAGGAGGAGCAGTGTTCCCTTTGGACACGGGGCAGGATATAAATCTTCCTGCTCACACTGGGGGGGTTTTAATGCCCCTGCTAGAGCCCCAGACACCAGTGGGGCCCAGACCTGAGTCAGAGGGCCTGGGTGAGAGACACAGGGAGCTGTAGAGACACAACTATCTCCCTGAACCAGTAAAACAGCCAGTCAGTCAGTTAAGACTCACTTCACAGAAGTTTGAGATTTTTTAATCATTTGTGACATCCAATGGTTTCACATCTGTAACGTTTAAAGAGTTGATGTAAATGCCTAAGAAAAAAACCCTAAATTCATAACAGATAAATAGGCAAAAGACATGAGTAGGCACTTCACACAACATGAACTGGAAATAACCCATTCTTAAAGATGTTCCATGTCACTTGTAATTAAAGAAATAAGACGCCCTTCTCCCAGCTATTAAATTAGCAAAGTTAAAAAAAAAAAAGTGAACACATATCTTGATGGTAACAAGACTACCCCACTGTAGCTAGAAGTGGACATCGGCTTAGAAAACAACACAAAAAAACTTTCTGGGAAATAATCTGGCAACAGGAAGCAAGCATCTTGAAGCTGTTTATCTTTTTGAGGGTAAACCTCCATAGCATCCCACCTCAGTCAGAGGCAAAGCCCATGGGCAGCTGGGCCTCTTCGACTTGGACCCGCCTCCAGTCATAGGGCCTCTCCACAGCTCCCCCTCCCTGGACATCCACGTGGCTTATCCCTCACCTCCCTTCCGTCTCCACTCAGCCTTCACCTTCTCATTGAGTCCTTCCTTTACCCCTCCCACTTTATTCCTCACTTTCCCTCCATCTGACATATGTATGTGTGTATTTTTTTTTGTCTCCCCATTCTAGAACGTAAGCTCCACAACGGCAATGACTTTTTCTGTTTTGCGTCACGACTGAGAGTCCAGCACAGTGCCTGGCACAGAGAAAGCCTTCCGCCGACATCCGTTGAATGAATGCATGCATGAATGAATGAACGAACACTGGAGGACACTGACCACACATGGCTGAAGGGGCAGAGGTAAATGCAGGCCTGTCAGCCCTGACCATGGAACAGGAAGGACCCAGGTCTGGAACAGGGCACAGCTGTGTCCAACAAACAGACGATGAACACAGCCATTCAAATTATGCTCACGAGTTTTTGATGACTTGGAAAAATCTTTATACAGTAATATGGAAAGTAGAAAAAGCAGCTACAAAATTTTATGAACAGCATTTTGAACACAAGGGGAAATTTGTTTCAAGTCTAGAAAAAGCACCGGTGGTAATGCCGCTTGGCCTTTCCAGGAGTGGCGCCCCCTCAACCGCTCGAGTCGTCGTCCACCCTCCCCCCACCCCCGCCATGCTGCCCCGCTTGTGCCGGCCAAATCCCTGGGGCTCCTGCTGGCCTTGAGCTCGCCTTCCCAGCACTAAGGAAGACAGGGCAGCTTCTTGCCTATTAACTCATCTCCTTCTTCCCCAGACACCCCCCCAGGGGGTTTTACTACTGAATTCTCACTCACACCAAAGAAGCAGTTTCACTCCAGAAAAGAGAAGCCACATACCAGGCAAAGAGAGGGTGTGTTCAGTGAACGCCCTGGGTACCACCCCAGCCCCAGTGCCCACCTGACTGACTCCCACCCGCCATCAGCGTGTATCCTGCCCCAGAAAGATCCTTTTCGTGGCCATCCCTGTTTGGAACACAGATGCTTCATCTCACAGGTGCTTTATGTCGGGGGGGGGGGGGGGGGCTGCCGGGAATGCTGGGTCCAAAACGAAGGTCCCAAGGCCACAACTAGGCCCTGTGAGGTAAACCATGATGACAGATTAAGAACCTGCCGTGGGTGTGGGAAGCAGTAGAGCCATGTTTTTGCCATTCCTGGTGTACAGTAGCTACGTAGCTGTTCGCATCCTGTGTTTACTCAGAACCTGCCTCTCCCTTCACCCCACTCAGCCCCCTAGGTCACAGTCCTCGGTGCAGTATTCAGATAGTAGAATGAATGATGCTGAAGAAATCCCACAAGACAGAAACTAGGTCCCCCCAGGGGTCACCACCTCCCAGACCAGTGCTGTAGCTATTGCACCCACCGCCCCCTCTATCTTGAGGACAGATACTGAATCATCATGACCACCCCCACGCTCTTGGCACCCAGAGCCATCACACGTTCTGCCCAAAGGGCTAAAAATAAAAAAATCCTGCTTGGGTCCCCTTACCTGGTTAAATCCCAACCACTCACTCGAGTTAAACCCCAACCCGATGACTCTTAGACATTCTAGAATCAAGGATAGTACAAGAAATCTTAAGGATCTATACTAACCCCTCCCCAAGGTACAGGTGTTCCTTGCCTCCAGCCTCCACCTGAACACCTTTGGGGACAGGAAACGTATGCCCTCCCCAGAGCCCCCAGTCTGTTCCCGAAGGTTCTGCATGTTACCCACAACTGGCCTGCCCAAGGGTCTTCCTTCCGGGTCTGGTTCTGCACTTCAGGGTCAAACAGAGAGTCTAGTCCTTACAGGTGATCCACTCCACTGTCTTTTACTTTATACACTACAGCAGCAAACTCAATTTCATTAAAATACACAAAACCCGGGCCGGCTGAGTGGCTCAGTTGGTTAAGAGCTCGCTCAAGAGTTTGAGCTCTGAGCAACAGCGGTTCGAGTCCAGCCCGAGCTGAGCAGCCGCTGAGCTGCCAACAGGTGGCAGGATGGCTCAACTAAAAAAAAAAAAAAATACACAAAACCCATACGGAGCCTCATCTAGTTTCCCGGATCAGCAGAGGCCAACCGGCATGATCTGGGTGCTCAGCTTAAAACAAGAGAGATGACTGCAAGGCAGACGACTCAGCTGAAAGCACTGGCTCCCTAGGGCAGCAAGAAGGTATGGACTACCTCATTTTAAAGGAGCCTTTAGAAATCTTTGGAGAAGTGAGACCCATGTGAAAGGAACTAGAAAACCAGGGCCAGCTAAGTTAAGTGACTTCCAGAAGATTAGAGGGGGTGGTTAGCGTTTATGTCTTTGTTCCTCACCCCTCTGCCGAGGCAAGCACGGCCAACCTGAACTGCCACGTCACAGGTGAGGAAAATCACACATGGAGGTTCTGTCCTGTGTCCCCGCGGGAGAGGTAGCAGTGCCTGAAGGTGATGGCAACAGGGTTAGACCTCGACACTGGAGCCCGAGCCCCTGGATTCAATCCTGGCTCTGCCACATGGAAGCAGTCTGGCCCAGGGCCTGTGCTCAGCCGCACTTGTGATGCCACTCCAGCACCTCTGCTGACCCTCAGTTTCCTTGATCGTGAAATGTGGCTGGTGACACTCATCCTAGAGGTCTGCTCACAGGAGAAGGGAACAGCCATGCAGAGCATCCTGTCTAGCCAGGTGCGGACCTGGGACTCAGCAAGTGTTGTTCTCTCCCTCCTTCCCTTTCCCTCCTCCTCTCAGGTGCTCAAAGTCTTAAAAAAAATTATTTTCTTAGGTAGTTGTTAAATTTTCCTAAAACTCTGGATTTCCGGCTTCTTTTGAAAAGGTAGAAAATATAGCAATGCTGAACCTGTATTCCCACACAACAATTGGTTAGATCTATGTGGTAGCTGCCTGCTTAGAAGGACGTGCTCTCTCCCTAGTTCTCCACAGTCCCCACCCATCCCTACCGCTCACCCCTGGCCCACCTCACACATCCAATACTTCCCTGAGTCAGAGGGCATCTGAGCTTGCACCAGTCCACCTGGGTGGCAATTTCTTTGGCTTCCCATCCCTGCTTACTTGAAACTTTTTCTACCAAGTCTTTACTTGTCCCTAATAGAACAAACTATTCTTTTCTCCTTATTAAGAGACAGAGGGTATTCTCCTATTCACAAAGCAAAGTACCACCCTGTTATGTGTCCTTAGAATATTTACTGAGCACCTACTACGTGCACCATGCTGCTAGGATCTGGGGCCACAAGGATGCAGAAGACGTGGTCTCTGCCTCACAGCTGAGGGGGTCCTGGAGTGTTTGAGAACCACCCGTGACAGCCTCAAGCACTAGCCTGAGTCCCTGATAAGGCCGGGTCAGCAAACTTTTTCTACAAATAGCCTGATAGGAAATATTTTTGGCTTTGCAGGCCATATGGTCTCTGTCCCAATTACTCAACTCTGCCATCCTGGCAGGAAAGAAGCCATGACGACGTGTAAACAAACGGTGTGGCTGAGTTCCGATATCTACAAAAACCCACACTGGCAAGATTTGACCCCATGGACTGCAGTTTGCAGACCCCTGTGCTAAAGTTTCTCAGCTTGATGGAGCAACATAAAATCCTTCAATTTCTAGAAAAAAAGAGGGGGCTTTCAAGTCATCCACCAGTGAAGAGACCTGCTCTACAGATTTACTGGAGCAAGGCCCCAGCCTCTTCAAGGAAAGGCCACTTTCCAGGGGCATTTCTCTGGTGTCACATAGATCCAGATTGGCGTTCTGGTTTTGTAACTTATTGATGATTGGGAAACTTGAAAAAGTTACTATATCTGGGGTGGCCGGTTAGCTCAGGTGGTTAGAGCGCAGTGCTCATAACACCAAGGTTGCCTGTTCGATCCCCGTGTGGGCCACTGAGCTGCACCCTCCACAACTAGATTGAAACAACTACTGGACTTGGAGCTGATGGGTCCTGGAAAAAAAACACACTTTTTCCCCCTTTCCCCCCAATAAAAAGTTCCGGGATCTCATTAGGCATGTTTACTTTTCAAGAAATGCTCCTCCTAGGGCTGCTGTGAGGATTAAACAAGATTGCTGGTGCAAAGGGCTTTGGCACAGTCCCTGCGACGCAGGAAACGCTCACAATAATCACAACCATGGTGATATCATCAATGAATGAAGGAAGGAGGGAAAGAATGAATGGGGACGACGTCTTACTCATCTTTCAGTCTCTGGCACACAGCAGGTGCCCAATAATTACTTGCTGAACCCATGGGACACAGTCCTGGCGGCCTGGCAATGGCGCTCTAGTCTAATCGCCTCGACCCTCCCCAAATCCTTCAGAGCACACAGAAGCAGTGCTACCTCCTTTTAACCATTAAGAACATGGTAATAATAGTATAAACTGAGCTTTAACAAAAAAAAATTTTTTTTAACTGAAGGAAGAAGAGCCAAGAAGCCACTCTGAAGGGAAACGCTGTTAAGACTGTTCCCAAAGGCTTGTGGACATCTTCCCAGGGCTCCACGGAGCCCCAGGGCAGCCTTCATCCTCCGGCCACTGGTGTCGGCACCTTCTCCCCAGACCACAGAATTCTCCGCTTCGGGCAGCAAAGCCAGGCCTGTGGATGAGGGAGGTGGCACTGTGCACAGGCAGGGTTCCACAGCTGGTATTGGCTGAGGGGTGCCCAGGGAAGAACCAGGTACGAGTGGGCACTGGCTTTCCAGGGGTGGGGCTGACAAGTCGGGGAGACTGAGGTTGGATGGAAAGTGCTGTTGTTACAGGAAGAATCCACAGGTCGACCAGATGGAGGTGCTGGGAGCCCCATTTCCAAATTCTCCCAGGCATGTGTGGGCCCGGGCCCAGGGCCCAGGGGTCAGGGTAGAAAAGGCCCAGGGAACCAGGAGAGCAGAAACTCAGGCTCCGAGGGGCAGCCAGTGGGTAGGCCTTACCTTCCGCTCCGATGGACACCAGCTTGACCCCCTTGCTGGCTATGAAGTCCAGGGCCTTGTTGACATTGGAGATCTTGTGCACCCTCATCTTGCCTCTCTCCGGCTTGGCCAGGCGTTCACCTAAATACAGACCGAGAACAGGGAAAGGGAAGGTGAGATGCTGTTATCCAGGAACCGGGCTGCTCTCACACCACTCCCATCCAGGGCACAGCTTAGACGGACACAGGCGTGTGCAGTTTCGGTGCAGGTAAATGCCACCCTGGCAGGGAATGAGAGGCCTATCCTGCCTCTGTTTCTCCCACGTCTCAGATCTAAACTGCTTGCATACACTCAGCAATTCTGTATTAAGCCCCTAATATGTGTCAGGGGCTTGGCTGGGTTCTAGGAATATGGGGGTGAACCAAACAAGTTTGCTGCTTTCATGTACTTATGGTCCAGAAGGAGAGACAGACCTTCACTAGAGAAACACACAAATAAATATATACAAATACCAGGAAGGATAAATGCTTAAAAGAACTGCTTGAAAAGAGGCTTCAGGCGAGGAGGGCGGCTAGGTGGATGAGGAGTTTCAGAGTGGTCAGAGAAAGCCGCTGAACAGAAGGGCAGCCAGGCCTAGGCTGCAAGGAATGGTGATCGAGGCAGAAGGAACAGCACATGCAAAGGCCCTGAACTCCTTTTAGTCTAGACTGTTTGGGCCTGCGCAGGGGTATGGGTCACTAGAGTATTTTGAAAAAGTTCCCTGTGTATTTAAATGGAGCTGCCACATCATCCCTCTCTCATTTAAGAACCAGGGCTCTTGTTCAGTTACTGCCTCCTGAGGGCACCCTTGGCTCAGCTACCAGTCAACCCCCCACTCCCACCTCCACCTTCCTAGTAGGAGCTTCTGCTACTTAGGTTTCAGGGCCAGAAGCTGCAAGAAAACAGGAAATGGGTAGAGGGGCTAGTTCTCCAAACACCCCATTAAGAATATATTTTTAGGGCCAGCTGAGTGGCGCGATGGTTAAGAACTGGCTTGGGACGCCAGAGGGCCCCGGTTCGGATCCCACATATGAGGGCCAGTGACACTGCCGTCTACAGCTAAGATGCTGAACAACAGCTCAACCTGGAGCTGGGCTGCTGTGAGTCACCGGCGACGGCGTAGGCTGCAGCCCCTGTGGCAGTGGGTTG